TAGTGCTAAGGGTTAGTTTCTGTCAGACATTGTCGTTTAGAACAAACAAATTGTTGAAAGTTTCTAGTAGATAATTTTGATTTCTTTGCAGATAAGCCAGCTTCAGCATGATAGTCTGAAAAGAACATCATGATGCAAGACAAGATTTGTCCTTTTTCTTCAGTTTTATCCCAGCTGTACTTTGCTGTTCTCTTGTGTAATTGAGTGTTATTTTTAATAGGCATTAGTTGCAAGGTTTCATGCCTCTCTGGTACGATACAGAGTGGAAGCCTTGACATGTAGGATTTCCATCTATATAGTTCATGTCAAGCTCTAGACTTCATTATCAATGGCCCATGATCCAAAGCCCTCAAAAACATCTGTAACCTTCATGCAGCTCTTTATTTCTTAGTTGGCTGTCTGATTTTAATTTTTTTTAACCAAACTGCTTCTTTCCTTTCTGTAACTTCTCAGTCCGACAAAGGTCTTTCTGGATAATATATTAATCCTCGCCAAATGGACAACCTCACAAAATTTAGGATGCAAAGATCAATTCTTTTCTTCCAAGAGATGCTTTAGTAAACATGGTATTCCATGCCATCACACAAGTTTGTTAGGTTAAGGACTTTGTTATGTTGGGCATGGTAATACAGATAGAATTTTGGAATGAAAAACTAGAGAGGTATTGAGTTGCAAAAGGTTCCAGGAATACGTTGAGCTATGCCAGGTACTATCTTCTTCCTCCCCTCCTCATAATTTGTGCCCCATCAGAGTAAATCTCTATCATCATTAAAGAAGGGGGATACACTGCACAAATGAGTACTCCATTCCTCATCAATCCCTGTACTATGGTTTTTCTCTTTCCCCAATCCATACCTTTGACTCATGCAATCATGGCATAAACATCTATGAAAATGATGGGGTTGCTACAGTCATTTATTGGTAACACACACTGAAGTATTTTGAAAATCTAAAATCTTTACTATTCTGAGGGGGAAAGTTTTGCTTTAATTAAATGGTGTGGCTTATTGAGTTCTTGTTTCAACAGAAAATGTTATTCTCTAAAGGACTTAAGGACAGGGTTTGGTTTTGAAATGACATAACTTCTCAATGTACTTGTACTAGAATATGAAGGTTATTGAACTCTGGCATTAAATACCATTTATCCCAGTTAATATTTTCACATCACATTTCTGTGTTGTGTGCCTTGGCAATTGTTCACTTTTTTTCTAAAAGCATGAATATCTGCCTCGGAAAAGTATTATGAGTTCATCTTTTAAGTAGTGTGTTAGAACTGTAGGCCTGTTTTTGAAATTTGACATGCTCTACTATAGAAATCAATACAGTATTCTGTAGAAATACGATATATTTGCATAGAAGGTACTGTTCCATCATCCAGGTGAAGGCCACTAGGGGGTGAAAGCGAGAGAAGGATAGTCCATTTTATGGGGGTGGAGGGTAAGTTGAAGGAGTAAAACCATTTCCCCCTGTTTTCCTGTTATTCCCCCAACCCATGTCCCCGTTGTGGAAACGATCCTCCAATCCACCCAAGTCAAAAAAGAAGCACCATTAAAGACTTGGCAGACCGTGCAAAAAGAATCTGTGAACCCCACCTTCTCCAAGATGAACTGAACCACCTCAACTGGGCTCTCCAGGCCAATGGATACTCCACCTCAGACATCAGAAGAGCTGCAAGACCAAGAACAAGCCACGAGAGTCAAGATGAAGATCCACCCAGAGGAAAAGTGTTCCTGCCATACATCAAGGGAACCACTGACCGCATAGGGAAGCTGATGAGGAAACACAACATACAAACAATCTACAAACCCACCAAGAAAATCCAACAAATGCTACGTTCAGCAAAGGACAAGAGGGATCCTCTCACCTCTGCAGGAGTCTACCGTATACTATGCAGCTGTGGACAAGTCTACATAGGGACCACCAAACGCAGTGCCCAAACAAGAATCCAGGAACATGAAAGGCACTGCAGACTACTCCAACCAGAGAAATCAGCCATAGCAGAGCACCTGATGAACCAACCTGGACACAGCATTTTATTTGAGAACACAAAATGCTGGACCACTCTCACAACCACCATGTCAGACTACACAGAGAAGCCATTGAAATCCACAAACATGTGGACAATTTCAACAGAAAGGAAGAAACCATGAAAATGAACAAAATCTGGCTACCAGTATTAAAAAATTCTAAAATTGCAACAGCAAAAACAGCAGAGAGAAAAACAGGCAGGGACATCTAATCACCTTTCAAGAAGAGTTTGCTCCAGGCACAGTCAACCCATTGTATGCTAATCAAGGTGGTCAGTTGAAAGATTCACACCTAGCCCAACTTACAAAAGCCCTTTGTCTCACCCTGGTCATTCCACAGATATATAAACCCCTTTTTTCCCAGTTTCCAGCAGACCTCACCTCTGAGGATGCTTGCCATAGATGCAGGCGAAACGTCAGGAGAAATGCCTCTAGAACATGGCCATATAGCCCGAAAAAACCCACAAGAACTGAGTGATTCCAGCCATGAAAGCATTCGACAATACAGTCCTCCTTTATGATATGGGAAGTAGGGAGGGAGAATAACCAGCGAAAACTGGAAAAATGGTTTTCCTACTTCAACTCCCCCCCCCCCCCCCAATAATGAAACAACAGCGAAGCGCCCCTCACATTTGGTGAATTTTTACCTTAACCGGGAATGATCAGGGATATTAATACCTAGTAATTATGCTTATTTGATTATTTCGGCATGGAGTGTGAGGGTGGGAAAGAGTCCCCTGAACACAACCTGCGCAACTGACATAATGTTTTTTGCTTGTGGCAGAATTGAAGGTGGAAAGAAAAGAAGACCAGATTATAATCGGATATATCTGATAAAAGAAGCCATAGCTCTGAGTTTCCAAGACCTGAGAAACTTGGAGAGTTCTCATGCAAAGGGTTGCCACAAATCGAAGGTGGCTTGACAGCAAATAACAATAAGACACTGGATTGTTGAGGGAATCTTGTTAATGGAAGATTGTGTGGCTGTACCTTCAAGTTGCTTTCCAACCTATTGTGATTCCATGAATTTCTTAGAAATCCTCAGAGGTAGTTTGGCCAAATCCTTTCTCTGAAATACAGCCTCTATCTTCGGACTATCCTCTCCAATTGCTGACCAGGGTTGACTTTGTTTGGCTTCTCAGATCAGTTGGGATCTGGTGCCCTTAGGGCATTTTTGCAGGACACATCACTACTTTGTATGACAGTGGGATTTCAGCACCCCTGTTTGCATTCGGTTTAAGTGCATAACTCCTAACTTCTTTGATGACAAAGGTATATTTGTGTTGACAGGAAAGCCGCTCTGTATGCAAGGGTAAAGATATTGGACCTGATATAGCAGATTCTTGTATATATGGTAGTGGGAAGAGGAGAGGCTTTAAAGTGACATAGAAAGCAACGCTCTTCATCTATGGAGTCAACCATCCATGATTTGAAAAGAATTTTTAAAAATCAAAAAATATGTTTTAAGTCATGAAGAGAACCAGTAGGACAAAAGGCAAGGTAAACATTGAATAAATAACTCGAATGCATCTATATATATATATATGTATATGTATATGTATACATACATACACCAAGGTTTGCATTGTTCAATCCATAACTGCAAAATCCATTGATAGGATGGCTGGACTTTATTATATTGAATAGTGGTATTTTTCTTGAGCCAAGCTGTAATTATTTTTTGTTGAAAGTAGAAAGTAAAGTGTTTGAGTGTGAAATGTATTGTATTAGAGACTAAGCCCAAAGTGAGAGATCTGTGTTGTGTAGAAGACTTAGCTTGTAAGGACGAAAGGTATTTCTTGTTTTCTCGTTATTGTGATAACAAAGCTAAGGCCATATCTAGGTGGTGCTACCTTTATCAAAAACCTGTGTACATGTGACAGCTCTTGGTTTGTTTGTCATTCAGCTACTAACTTCTAATTGGGTTATAAACTAGCACATTTATCCATTTCCCTTTTCTACTGGTGTTCCAGGTTATATACTTTTCTACTATGAGTAATGCAAGTACTTATACCTCTTAAAAGTCAAGTGAAATGAGTTACATACTTCAAAGGTACAAGGTGTTATTGCTACTGTGTACGGTTTATCTAGTGCCACAGACATTACTGGCATAGTTATTCCTTATAGAGATTAGCAGCTAGGTGAGAAGGCTGTGAGGATAAACTGTTAACAGACAATGCAGAAAGGCAAGGGTGTGGTGTTTCAGCATACACTTTGCAGAAAAGTACATTTTGAAGGCAGAAAAGGACGCATTTATAGGTTTGAAGGTAAGTAAGAGGTTGTTGATGTGCATGTAACATCATAAACTGAAAATGCAAAGGCAGGAGTAGAAACAAGAAACAAATTTTAAACTGAGAAAATAGCTTGATGAGATGTCTGAAATAAGAAATAGCACACATGAGATCTGTTAAGCACTATAAAGATGTGAATCTTGTACAGTTTTACATTTTTGGAAGTGATTTTATGGCTTTACTAGGAACTGAGATATAAACTGAGAAAAATAAAGTAGAAGGCACTCTGTACAAATAAGGTAATTGAGAACAGGGACACACCACTATCATTTGTATTTTCTGCAGCATTTTCTCAAGTGGCAAATCTTTTAGATTTACTTATTTTTGCTGGTATTTGTGTGGAAGCCTTGTGAAGTAAACTAGGTTGGTAAAATGAACAGGCAAAAAATAAAAATGTACCCGTTGCTTTGCAAACAATGAAGAACATACCTGAGCAGGAATTTGAACATGAATCCTTAAGCAGTGGACTATAAGAATGATGTGGCTAGATTTGTCCACTTATCAGAAAGTGGCTGATTGCCTACTTTAGGTGAGAGCCTTCTTTTAATTACGTCACATTTTTGCTTTCTTTTTAAATTAGGTTATTGTCGGGCTATTTGTTTATAGTTTTGTGAGTATAACAACTGAGCTGGTTTTTCTCTTTTTCTTATCCACCTGTCTTCTACCCAACACCCGAATTTAGGAGGCAGACAAGTGAAATGAAGTCAAAAGAACAATAAAGTGGTGGAGAACGAAGGAGACATTGTACCTCTGCTCTGCAGTTTGGCGGAGCACTAAAATGTCTGTGGACATGAACAGCCAGGGCTCTGACAGCAATGAAGAGGACTATGATCCAAACTGTGACGAGGAGGAAGAGGATGAAGATCCTGGGGACATTGAAGATTACTATGTGGGGGTGGCAAATGACGTGGAGCAGCAGGGAGCAGATGCCTTCGATCCGGAGGAATATCAGTTCACCTGCCTGACCTATAAGGAGTCTGAGAGTACCTTGAATGAGCACATGGTCAGCTTGGCTGCTGCATTAAAGGTGAGAAATGATGGGGATTTGCTGGAGGTTGCATCTTTCAGACTGAGAAACTTTAATCAGTTGATCTACTATCAAATCTGTAAATGACCATTAACCTAAAATGCTGTGGATCCTGGATGACTGAGATTCCATTGTCATTGGTGTTGTTTTGTAGTTATTTTTGCAACTTTTCAGAGAGTTCTGTTTTTTAATGCAAATGTTCTTTAATTTATTTTTATTTATTGTGTCAGGAGCAAACCAAACAGTTGTATTGCATATTTTAACAAACAAACAAACAGAAGCGACCTGCAGCATGCAATGTTCTTTAATAATGATAAAGAACAAAAATATCCAGCCCCCCCATCTTTATTTTGCTTATTTCAGTCCATCTCAACATATAATATTTCCTTTTTCTAATAAAAGATGTTCCAGTGCTGAGAGTTCCAGCTAAGCATCCATTTAGCATGTCCATCTAGGAAGTCCTGCATATGACATAACTCCTTTCAGGTGGGGTAAATGAAAACAGACAATTTTTCATCCTCTAAAAGTCTGTTTTGGAAACATTTGAGGACATTTCAGAGCGGTTTTGAGATGAGGGCTGGGGTTATAGAGGCTGAAGGAGAGAATAAGAAAAAGTTCAATTGGGAAAAGAAAATCTGTTTATGCAAGATTTAATGTTATCTCCAAGGCTCTTTAAAATGTTATTTTATAAAGACTTAAATTCATATATGGATTTCTTGCTCCAATGTCCACATCTACCAATTGTTCGGAGTGGAAAGTGTATGATCTTCTTATGTTTTTAAACCACAACTCTCATAACTTCTCACTATTGGTTAAATTGCTATTTGGCATGTAGGGTTTGCAGTTCAGCAACCTTTGTTAACACTTCTGGTTTAGTGTCTTAATATCCTTATGGCGTCCATATTATCTTTTTAGCAATCCATCCCTCCTTTTCCCAACTTCTAATCTGAAACCTTGCCAAACCGTTATCAGCTCTCCACTGTAAAACAAAGGAATGTGACTGGTATAAATTCCTATAGACTGGTGGCAATATCTCTTATCTATTTTACTTCTTTTCTGGTTGATTTGGGATGTATGGAAAGGATATTGCTCCTACTGGCCGTAGAAATAAGAGGCTTGCCTGTTTCTTCTGGTGCTTTGATCTTTCCCGTGGCATCATTGAAACCAACCTACCACATTTGTTTTGTTCCATGGAAAAGGGGCTGGGATAGAACTGAAGCAGGCTGAACTTTCTAAGAAAGGAATTAGTGGGCAACCTATTGAACTGAAAATGCTCTTTGCTAATATACAAACTATATGTTAATCCCAAAAATTAAATCCTGACTAAATAAAGAAAGTCTCTTCTTTGGGACAGTTTGTGTAAGTGAAATAATTATTATTTGTTTATTATTATTTAAAACATTTATAGCCTGCCCTTCTCAAACCTGAAGGGGACTCAGGGCAGCCTTTCAAAGGCAACAATTCAGTGCCATAAACCACTTAATTTTTAATGGGTTAAAACCAAACACATTAAAAATAGCATTAAAACGTCAATTAAAATCACATGATCCAAATCATATTCTAGGGCTCATCCAAGTCGTCATTATATTAATTTGAAATCCTGCTTTTGATCTCATTGGGTTGTTAAATAGGACCATGTATTAACTTTTAGTCGCATTATAGTTGGTGCCTTTCCCCCCCTATAAAATGCATGCTGCTCTGGAAACCACTGCAAAAAATAGATCTGCAAAGTGCCTGTTATGCTTAAAGCAACTATGATTCTAAAATGGGCCAAAAGAAGTAGAGGAACAAAAAAAATATTGAAGTTCCATTTTGGCAACTGGCTATTGCATTGTCTCCTTGAGAAGGAATAATCATAGACTTTGAGAGAAGCAGATCAGCACTCCAAAAACCCTGTTATTACCATGACAAGGGGTTTGTTTAGAGAGATGTGCTCTTGCCTCCTGCTGTAGCAATGACTAATTACTCCTCATAAAGAAAGACAATTTCTATACACGCTGAACTGAAAAGAGCAATAATTGCCTCTGCGTTTGGCTAATACTGTTTGGGCCATAGACTTGATAAAGCTTGCAAGCCTTGCTGCACTGCTCAGAAAAGAGTTCTGTTTCTAGGCTGGGGGTACTTGGCACTTGTACTGAACCATCTGGTATCATCATGACACATCGTAATGGCCTATCATGAACTTTAAAGCTGCTAGCAACTGAATCTGTTATCACAAGTGATGCAAAGTGCAGAATAGGCATGTGTGTGGCCTTTTTCTGATTGTTTTATTGATATTTGAAACCTGGCCTGGTGTCACCAGTCTAAAATCATGTTCCAAATGAAACTGAGCTTTCATAATTCTAGGAAGCTTATCAAGTCATAATAGAGATGAGCAGTCCTGTTGCATGTGTATACATTCTGTGTCAAGTGTTTCTGAAAAGCGCAATGGAATCCTTAATTCTCAGAAGACAACTTAATAAATGCAGGATACTCTGATATCGAAAAGCAAACAGGCCAGCCTTTTTAGGCTGCAATTGTTGCTGGAGGCCTGGGCTTCTTAAACCTTTACTATTCATGGCCCCCTTTTGCCTGAGAAATGTTTGCACAACCCAGGTAATTCTTATCTATTATCTATATAAAAGTGAAAAAACATATGTATGTATGTTTGTTCTACAAAGGCTCCTACATGGCCTGATGGATCTGGACCAAACCTAGTTACAGGTACCCTTCATTATCCAACTTAAAATACTGGCCAGGTTGAAACTAAGCAATCAATCCCTATTGTTTGTAGCACTACTTTTATCATGGCCTACCAGCATTGGCAGGCCATGAGCCTCATGCTACATTGCTGGGATGCAGTCGCAAGAGGGCACTACATAGAAAAGCTACCTCAGAGAAAAATGTAACAAATAGTAGAAGGCTGGAGTGTGGCACAAAGACACTCTAGAACAGGGATCCTCAAACTTTTTAAACAGAGGGCCAGGTTACAGTCCCTCAAACCGTTGGAGGGCCGGATTATAGTTTGAAAAAACATGAATGAATTCCTATGCACATTGCATTTAACTTATTTGTTGTGCAAAAACACTTTAAAACAATATAATAATTAAAATGAAGAACAATTTTTACAAATACAAACTTATTAGTATTTCAATGGGAAGTGTGGACCTGCTTTTGGTTGATGAGATAGGGTTGTTGTTGTTGTTGTTGTTGTTGTGTGCTTTCAAGTCGTTTCAGACTTAGGTTGACCCTGAGTGAGGGCCGGGTAAATGACCTTGGAGGGCTGTATCCGGCCCCTGGGCCTTAGTTTGAGGACCCTGCTCTAGAACAATTCTCAACCTGTGAGTCCTCAGATGTTTTGGCCTTCAACTCCCAGAAATCCTAACAGCTGGTAAACTGGCTGGGATTTCTGGACGTTGTAGACCAAAACACCTGGAGACCCACAGGTTGAAAACCACTGTGCTAGACTTTAACTGAACTCAGTGGGGCTTATTTCCAAGGCTTTTGAAAAATATAAATTATTTTGGAAAACCATTACTCTAGAAGTCCCTCTCAGAAAACCTAAAATGCTTTAATTCAGACTTTCTTTGTCTTAACCACAGTTATGTCTTGAATATTGGCGGGAACTGAGAAAACATCCTCTTCTCTGAGTGGACTGCCCAAAGCCTTATTGATATAATGGGTGGGAAGGTAGTGGTGATAGTGACCAGAGGCAACTGTCCCTCTGAGGCAGTGTTGGCATTCCTATGTCTGATGAACGACCCTTGATGTATCTCTTGGTCATATCAGGTCTGAAAACGTGTCCTTGATGTGTACATGAAGACGACTTATATATCAGTATGCATGCTAAATGCACTAAATTGTAATTGGCAAATGATGACAGCAAATAGTATTTTACATTATCAATTACCATATAATATTGGTAACCAGTGAAACAAACTGCTGAAGAACAGAAAAGGTGCTTGAGAGGACTATCATTATCATTAATACAATGCCATCAGAGTACATGGTACTTTACATTAGCAATTTACAATTGTTAATTTAAGAGTTCCCTATTCTTGGGCTTACAGTATAGAAAAACATAATACATTAAGAAAAGGGGATGAAGTTGGAGGAGGAGATTAAGGCCAGTACTTGCCGGCTGTTGTTCTCTCCTTCTGTGCGAGGGTCTTCCTCAACATCAGCAAAATGGAGCTGTGCCTGCCTCTGCTTTCCTTCCAAGGAAAGAAAATAAAGAAGCTGTTAACAGATATGTAGGACAGGAAAAACAAAAAAAACAAAATACGTATACCAAAAGAAAATAATGAAAAATCGATTTGAAGCTTGGTAAAACAAATCATTTTATGGCCAATAAAGTAAAGGCTTAGAATGAAAAGTTGAGAAGGGCAATATGTTGAAATAGTTTTGAGACTAGTACATTGAAATTGCGACTCAAGAACAGGGGCTTCAGGCAAATCATATCAAGGCGAATAAATAAGTAACTGTTCTCTTTGTAAAGAAAACACTGAAGGTCTTGACTACTTTATTCATGCAGCTAAATTGCGCAGACTGAGTGTAAGAAAACGGTGTGTAAATTGGATTATTGTAAGTTTTTTGGGCTGTATGGCCATGTTCCAGAAGCATTCCCTCCTGACATTTTGCCTGCATCTATGGAAGACATCCTCAGAGGTTGTGAGGATGCCTGCCATAGATGCAGGCGAATTGTCAGGAGACAGTGCTTCTGGAACATGGCCATATAGCCCGGAAAAAACTACAACAACCCAGTGATTCCAGCCATGAAAGCCTTCAAAAATACATGTTAATTGACTGTAGTGATGCACTGGAATCTAAGCTAAGGTTTGATTTACCATCTGTAAAAAACTAGTGGGAACAAAAGCTTGAAAAGTGGAGGTGTGCTATAAAAGTTCTAAATGACATATAAATATGACATACCAGTCATACCTGTGGTTGAGAAAAATAAAAATTGTATTACTGTATATATGTAAGAGACCCTAAGGATAGCAGAATTGAAGGCATAGAAAGGTAGATAATGAAGTATCCAAACCTACAGTTGATATTCAGTACTTCAGTAAGAATTTATTTATTATTTACTCTTTATACCCAGCCTTTCTCTACTCCGAAGGGGACTCAATGAGGTGGTCATTATTAGAATCACAGTAGTATAAGAACAGAAAAATAATACAATTTTCAGTGTTGTCTGATCATACCTCACCGATTGCAAGAATTTTGGATAGAATCCAAATAATTGGCAATCCAGAACTGCAGTTGGGAACATCTGGTAGACTGTGGTACCAAAATCATAATAATAATAAAGAGTTCAGTATGTTCTGTGTTATTTTAATAACTGTCCTAGAGGACAAGTGATCGTTATTGCTGGTGGAAATGAATGGGTGTTTAGGGCTGAGTAGTTGGGACTTGCTTCAAGTGTTACTTTTGCCTTAAGCAAGTCCCAAACATCTTCTGGTTTATATCTCACACATAAATGCTGTAAAACTTTCTGTCCGATGAAGTATGTCAGGGGGCTGGACTAGATGGGCTAAGCAGTCTCTTCCAACTCTGATTCTAAGTAACTTTTTTTCTTATAAGAAGGCTACTCTGATGGACGGATGTCAATTTTGTCATAATAATAGTTTGATGCTATCCCCACACTGTAGATGGTGAAGGTTTTTGATAAAGGTAACATTACCTAGAATCATAGAGTTGGAAGAGACCACATGAGCCACTAATCCAACCCCCTGCAAAGCAGGAAAAGCACAACAAAGCACCCCCACAGATGGCTACCCAGCCTCTGTTTAAAAGCCTTCAAGGAAAGAGCCTCTACCACACTCCAAGGCAGAGAGTTCCACAGTTGAACAGCTCTTATAGTCAGGAAGTTCTTCCTAATGTTGAGGTGGATTCTGCTTTTTTTTGTAATTTGAACCCATTGCTCTGAGTCCTAGTTTCTAGGGCAGCAGAAAATAAGCCTGCGCCCTCCTCCTTTTGACATCCTTTCAGATATTTAAACATGGTGATCATGTCTCCTCTCAACCTAACAACAGGAATTCGTAGGTGTTGAGCACTTACCTTCAAGTAATATGATTGCCTGAATGGTAGGGTGATGTATTAAAGATGTGTGCTCCATTTAATGATCCCCTCAAAATATAGATGAGGCAATAACTTGTTAGGGGGAGGGATAGTATGTATAGAAGACTGCAGTCTGCAGGAAGCAATTCTGTTCATATTTTCCTTAAAGGTTAACATATTTTTTGAAAAAGTTGTGTCATAAAAATAGCTGATTCTTCTATGGTGCATCGAATTTTTGAGCCAATACTGAGGTCTATTTGGCCTTTCCTAACCCAGACAAATGTCTCAGGCTTGGCATTGGAAATGCTGTATCAGTTTGCATAAAGTAAAATTAAATGTCTCACATGGCAAAGCTTCAAAATGCCTGGCTTGGTTCTTTGGCAAGACTGAATTTAGTGTTGGCATGGAGGCCTAGGACTCTTCAAAAGGAGCACCACATACAAATAGGTCGCACTTTGTCCACACTATTTTAATACCTTCAAATACATGTTTTTTGAGAACAGAAGTGAAGTTCTGGATAGTTTGGGGGTGTTTTTTTTTTTAGTGTGTGCATTTTTTATATTTTCTTTGTATTCTCTTGGGGGTTCAAAGGGCCAAAAACTGATACCTAAACCTGTGCAAATGCCCATCCTCAACTCCCCTCACTCTTTTTTTGGATTTTCAGGGAGATAAAAGTGTGGTTTGACAGCTATTGATCGTTTTAGTATATGGGATACACTTAGGGAAGCACCACAAAATTGTCTAAATAATCTGTCAACATATTTGAGAGTTTACCTTAATGCTTCTGCAGTTTGTTTAGAAAATGAGTAACACTGGCTGGTAGAAAGCATCTCAAGCTCACAGCATGGAAGTCTAGCAGCTTGCCTGCAAAAATAGAAAAGAGCCATACTGTGGTATGTTTAGCTTTGCTCCTAACCCTGCTAGTTTTCTGATGTTCACTTAGAAGAAATCTGTTTTAACACTGAGGAACTCATGAAGCAGTTTTATAATTTTGAATCACGCTGAAAGTGCATGTTGTGACTTATTTATAGCTGATGTAGCTACTTCAGGTTTTTGCTTATCATCTTAAATGTAATGAATAAATATTGGGCTGGCAATATTTTTAATCTGTGATAGTCCTAGTTTACTTCCATTTGTTAGAGAATTAATTACCTTCCAGAAATAAGGTTAGGAATGAAAAGAGTTAAATATAAAATGTTAAAAGAAGATCTTGTATGCTGCTTTCAAAATATCTTTGTTGCATTTAATTGTAGAGAGGCAAATACAGGTTAAGAAGGTAAGCTTGGATCAAATTCTTATTTAACATCTTGTCTTAGCCTTAAATTCATACTTGCCCCAAAAGTTTACATCAGAGGGAGTAAAGCTTTAAACCAGTTAACATTATTTTTATCTTCTTATCAAAAGAACAATCTGGATTTTTTCCCTTGGTGTTTTTTTAGGCTTGTTCCCGGAGTTATTTGGAGTGCTGATTTAGAAAACTGCATTGGATAGACTGCATCAGCTGTAGTGTCTTAGATATGATTGTCATAATTTTCTATCAGCAAGCTGGTGAAGGCTGGTATAGGACATATGTTCTGTATCTCAAAACCTAGAACTGATAGGAGAAAACAGGTGCCATCTTTGGAATCAGCAGTCAAATATACCCAGAGACAGGTTCAACACTTGAGGTACTAAAATGTCTGTTGGCCAGTATTAAGGTTGTTTCTGTAGCTACATTATCATAGAAGTCACCTCATAATAGTAGTCAGCTAGTTGTTAGCTGAGTTTAACTACCTTGGATCCAAAGAAATGTTTCCTGTTGCTTTATACAGTCCCTTTCTTATTATAACTTCTCATGATTCTGAACATATAGGAAACTTGAAGTATCATGCTTTGTTGGCAGTAGCTACTACAATTGGGAACTGGGGGTGGGAGAAGTATCTCATTAAGATGAGGCGCTCCGATTTATTTTGGTGGTCTAATGCATCCAGACTAATGAGTTCAGTGAAATTAAGTGTGTGCAACTTTGCAGCCAAAACATGAGAGAGCTTATATGGCAACAAATATGCTTTGCATATGAGTCCCCAGGTTGAAATTTCATGTCATGCCACTTCTTCTGCAGCATGATACTGCTTTACTTGATATGGTCAATGAAAGAATCACTGAAAAAAAAGCATATTTACCTTGATAGAGCTTGCTTTGGGGCTCTTTCCCTCTCAACCTGAAAAGTTCTGGTTTTCCTTACACGTTGAGTCCTGCTAGTTGCACTCGTTAAGAGATTTTAGCTGTGGAGATCAGTTGGGTTAAGGCTAGTGCACACAGATTAAATGCAAAGAACAAATTGTTCCAAGGTTTAACCAGATATCCTCTTTCAGTCCATGGTCTAATTTGGTATGGAGTGAATAGAGTGCTTGACATCTGCTTCCTGGAGCATGTTGTCCTTACCGACCGTGCATTCTTCTTTATGAATGTCTCTGATCTAGTGCATCTGTGCACATGTGGCCAGACTGACATGGGGCTCACTGAAATCCTGTGCTGTAGAAATAGTTGCCACATTGGCAGTCAGAGCTCTTTTCCATGACACCAGACTCTGATAAGTCAAACTGGAGGTGAGACCCTGTCTGTTTGGGCCACATGATATTTGTTCAGGAGATAATACTCTACAAATGATTTAGTGCTTTTGAAAAGACAAACCATCTCTGAGGAAGTATTGCATCCTGGAAATACATCCTTGAGTTCCCATTGTGTAAGCCTTGGAGAATCCGGAGCTCTGTTTCTTTCTTCTTCTTTGTGTGTCATGTTTTCTGTCCTCCTGTTGCTTTGTACAGGAGTGGAAGTGAGGTGGGGGTCTTTCATTCCAAACAAACAGTTGGTACTAAATTGTTTATGGTGCAGTGCAAACAGAAAAATTGAAGAGACTAGGCTGAGCTTATAAAAATTGAGAAATGCTTGTTCATGATTACTTAGCTCTGTATATAGTCAGTACAGACGAAGGTCTATAATTGCCAACAAAAGGCTAAACGTTTTGAAGAATTTTCTGAATAACATTTGGTATGATTTTTTTGTGAAAATAACTGCAGGAATCAAGGATAAGAGGGTATTGTTTCCAGTTATCAGAAGTACAGCTATGCTTCTCAACAACCAAGAGTGCATTTAATGCTGGTGGGATTTAATGTTCTACCAAGATACTTATGCGGTGGTCCAGACAACAGCTGCCAGCTGGACAAAAGCATAACTAAATTTTCCCAGTGCACACTCAGTTACTGTTGTTTCAAGATGGAAATGTTCCTAGCACTGTCTGGCAGCTGCTGTGAAGTGTGGACAATTGTGCAAGAAACTACTAGGTATTTCCTTTGGGCTACACCAAATCTATACATAGATCTCATGTATGAGCTGTGGGCAGGTTTGGAAACCAATATTGTGGATTTTGATATGACCCGAGGATAAGTTATACTGTACAGAGGGGAAAGCATCAGTATCACCTCAGGTGGCCAGTCACTCCAGCCATTTGCCACCATTTCCCTGCCAGGCATTCAAAAATGGCAGCAGTGATGTTACAGAGGTGAGAGTAGAGGGGATCAGTGCCTGTTTTAGGTTCTCCCAGTATGGACTGAGGTCTTGTCTTTCGCCACCCTACTCAGAGAAGCTGGTGGTTCATTTTTTGATGAGAGTTAAGGTACTGTAATCACATTGATCCGTGGATAATTTAATCCAAGTTTTGTGGCTGATTTTTAATTACAATTTCTAGACTTATACATGAGTATATAGGTCACTTAATTTAACACACAGTTATGTAGCATGTATCACCAAGAGCATTCTGACTTACTTTTTCAATTATTTCTTTTGGTTAAGCTTGTTTGCCACTTTGCTTCCCACATATGGCTGCAAACCTTTACATGTTTCTCCCCCAAAAATTATGTCAGCACTGTTACAGCTTTGGAATAGGACAATTATCCCTTATCCAAAATAAGGCCTCTACAACTTGTGACTGTCCAGGTGTTTTGAACTTCAGTTCCTAGAATTCTTGACTATTGAACAAGCTGGCTAGGGTTCCTTGGAGTTGGAGTTGGAGGCCCCAATACCTGGAGGACTGCAGCTCCAGCTCACTTTGTTTGGGACAAGATGTGTTCTGGATTTCAAATTTCAGAATACCTGTTATTGCATATACAGGCAGTCCCCGAGTTACAAACATCTGATTTAGAAATGACTCATAGTTAAGAATGGGGTGAAAAAACAGAAAGTGAGAGAAATCTCCTAGGAAGGGAAATCTACTCCTGAAATAGTTATCATGGGGGAAAGGTGTCTCCACTGAAGTTTTGTCATCAATCCATATTTCCATAACAAATCAAATTTTTCAAAATCCAATTATCACAGGGAAAAGAAAGTGTGGTGAAAGCTTCTGAACAGGGGCACAGACAGCAAAACAAAAACCATAGGGGTGTTAACCCTTCCCTATGTTATCTGAAGCTTATATATTTGACTGGAGTTACACTTAAAATTTACCTGTTCTGACTTAAATGCATACATAATATGTATCTTGCATAAGAGAGCCAAGTCTATACACAAACATAATTTATGTTTCATGAACTCATTATACATATACGCTGAAGTTAATGTTATTTAATATATTTTGTGCATGAAGTGAAGTTTGAATATACTGTACCATCAGAAAGTGAATGTGCCACCATCTCAGCTACCTATGTTGACAGTGTTGGACTTTAATATTCCAGGTGAGGGGTGCTCAACCTGTACCTTGAATTCCCAAAGTCCTGGTACTTTGAAAAACAGGCATGAATGGATAAAATTCAAGTGTGATTTCGTCTCTGTAATTGCTGTGCCCAGAGGGAGATGGAAATGAAACCAAACCATGGTGGCTTGGATTTTCTTTCTTGCATCCAGAGTGCCAGAAGGAAATCCCTCTCTGCTGCTTATTAATATGGCAAAAAGCAAAACAACCAGAAGTTCTTTTGCCTACTGCAAGACTTCATTCTAAGTGCCATATTGAATCCAGCAAGCACTAGCTGTGTTCCACACTCCAGCTGGGTCTGATGGGAGAAATGGAGATATCAAATGTCGAGATGAATGTCAAACAGCCCATCTGGCACCAGAACACGGGGCAATTCTGGCTGTGAGTCGTACCCTACTAATCAGTTTTGCAGGCGTCTGACTCCAGTTAAAGTGGATGACCAAGCCAGTGTTACCCCTTGACGTTTGCAGTTTGCTTGCAATATGAAACTCTTAATGATTCCAGTTACATTCTTCTTACATTTTCAAACTGTATTGTGGAATAGTTTAAGAAGACATTACTTACCATTATAGTTTTGGATGCTCGTGTTTCTCTCCAAAGAAATCAGCATTGTACTTTCTTCTTGTAAGCAGTTCTTTTGCTTTCCAGGAGGTATAATTTGCTGTAGCAAAAACAACACTTTTAGTTTTAGTTTTCTTCCAGCTCTATGATTCTAGGATTTCCTGTTTTTGAAAAGCAACCAATAGTTGCTTTGGGATTTCCTAAATAAACCATATCTTAATGCAGCCACACAAGGCAGAGCCTAAGCATCATATGATCAAACTCCGCTGCCACGTAATTATTCTATATTACTGGATTTATTGCCGCATTACTGGCACTTCTGAAATCCTTAATTTCTTTGTTTTTGGCTTTCGTTGCTTACCTCCAATGTAATTTTCATATTTGCAGAGAAGCTCAAGTAGTTGGCAATTCTGCTAGAGATGTCAAAGCAGCTGCATAGCTGGTAATCAGTTCTTGATCATTCAGGGAAGTTATCTTCCTCTGTATACTCTTAATGCTTGTTTGACCTTTTCTCAAGTCCCTGCTGTCAGCTTTCAAAATAGCTCCCAATTTTGTGTAAGTTTTAAATCTTGCATATAGTACAATTTATATAAAGCCTCTCATAGCTGCATTCTGTAATCAGTACATGGAAAAATGATGAATGTCACAAATGGGATACACTAAAAACAAAAGCAAAGTACATCATTGTACGCTGTTGTACATGGCTTACTTTGCTGTATTATATGCTATTAGTACACTGATAATAATAATAATAAAACTGTATTGCAGCTATGCTCACTTAAACTACCCCTGTCCTTTCCCTCTCATTAGATCTAAAGAGAAAATAAAGTATTCATGTACAATTTGACTTGACTTTTTCTGAAATAAGGCATGACGTTTCTATTTAGGGCTGAATTTGTGGAGCTAAAGCAATTATAGTACTATATACATTAATGAACGATAATGCTTCTGTTGTCAAAGCTGATGGTCAAGTAAAAAACCTAAATGACATGATTTGTTATTGTGTACCTAAAGGTCAAATCTGACTTATAACAATCTTACGGTGAACCTATCATAGGTTTTTTTTAACCGAGATTAGTTCAGAGTGGTTTTTGTCTTTTCCTTCTTTTTAGGCTGAGAGAGTATGACTTGCCCAAGGGTTTCTGTGGTCGAGCAGAGATTCTAACCCTGATTTCTACAGTTGTAGTTGTAAAACTCAAACCAATGCACTACTGTGGTTCATATAAAGGAAAATTATCAACAAGGATAAATCTTTGACTTTTCTCAAGGATATTATTAACATTGTGAAAATACAAAATAGCTTTATTCTTTGGAACATAGGGATATGCTTAAAGCATGTTGCTGGTCCTCAGTTTATTTATTTTCTTTCTTTCCTGTTTAGGTCTCGCATGCAGTTGCTAAGCTTGTATTAGTTAGCTTCCACTGGCAAATCTCAGAAATTTTGGAAAGGTAAGCTATATTTAATTTGTACGGAGATGCTGCTCACTTTTCTGTATCTAAAGAAAATGCAAAAAGGCTGTCTCTCTTGTTCAGAGCTCACAAAGATACTTTAAAACAACACGCCAAGGTTTATGAAGTATGTGGTTTACATGCATGCTCTGGTTTAGGAAAGAGATCTTTTTCTTAACCGTATTCTTGATTTGTAAGATAGCTTACAAATAAGAGGAAGCTTACAAATAATAGGATTTCCCTTTCTCAGTACAAGCAGTCCCTGAGTTACACATATATGACTCCTAGTTACAACAGGGGTGAGACAATAGGAAGTGAGAGGGGATCTACTCCTTGGAAGGGAAATTCACTCCTGAAAGAGTTATGATGTGAAAAATGTGCTTCCACTGAAGCTTTCTCACCTGTCCTTGTTTCCATGACAATCCATGTCAAAAGCCAATTGTCACAGGGAGAAAAAGTGAGGTGAAATCTTCAGAAGAGAGGCACAGATAGCAAAACAAGTGTTACAGGGGTGTTAATGCAAAATTATGCTTTGCAAAACTAAAAAAACCCCTGCTATCTTGTTGTCTGTAGTGACTGCTTATAGTTGTGAATTGGGATAAGTTCAGAATTCATAGCCATAGCCATATCTTCCACAAAATACTGTAGTTGTATTTTTATCTCATTAGCTTGACATTGACAGCACTGTATTTATCTAGAATTTTAATGCTTTTTTCCTGGCCTTCAGGCACAAGTCCAATTCTGTCCAATTGCTAGTGGAAGCACGAGTTCAACCTGCCTCATCCAAACACGTAAGTAACAAGCAGTTATATTTGCTTGGTAATAAAACTCCTTGTATGGTCCTCTGAAGGCTGTTCTCTTGCCCTCTTGGTCTGCCTTCTGCTGGCTTCTAATCCAATTTTATTACTGCACAAAAAGTGAAGCTCTTGAGGATTCAATAATGAAATTCTAGCATGAAGCTAAGAGCCTGACCTTGCAACCAGGCTTTCATCTCTTGGTTTGATCTGAGGTTTGGATGCATGTTCACCACAAGAAGGATTCAAATGCCCTTGTCACTGCAGACGTTAACCAACTGCTAATTATGGAACGGTGCAAGCTAGGATCTTCAGCTTTTTGAAGGAAATCTTCTTGCACATTAAGAAAGCCATTCTCTAGAATTAGTAATAGTTGTCTTGATCTGTGGATTTATAACACTCCTCTTCCTAGCCAATATGGCCAGTGGTTAGATAAGTAAATTACCATGTATTTCAAGTGCAGACAGGGAAGGCAGGGGCATCTAGTAAATCTCACAACCAGAAGAAAAGACTTACCATATATTCCGGCATACTAGACGACTTTTTATGCCTGGAAAATATTATTAAAAGTTGGGGGTTGTCTAGTACGCTGGGTATAAATTAAAATAATAACTTAAAGAAAAAAAGTTAGGGGGTTGTCTTATTCCCCCCCCCCCCCCCCCCGTAACCTTGTATTCCGGAATATAGGGTATTTAGAAAATAGGCATTGGCACGTGTGATAGTCAAGACTTTATTTCTTAGAGATTGAGGAATACATTCAGCAAAAAAGGGTATATTCCCAAATGCTCTAAACAAGAAGTTCAAAGGGAAGGGCTGTGTTGAGCTTAGTTAAAAGTCATATGAATTGCCCTGAACTCTGAATGACCTTGATCTCCTCCCATCTGTCAAGCGCCCTGCAGTTTGCTGATGAGTTGGTCAGCTCTGCTCCATCACAGATTGTTTCACCAAATACTAGAATATGTTTAGTAAAATGGCCTACCCTACACTTGTTGGCTTAGCTTTCTTCCCTTATTCCCAACTGTCAGCTTTTAGATCTTTTTTTTTTTTGCTTCCCTCTTTCATTCTACAGCATCTGATGTGAAATGTTTATAATCCTGAGCAAACCATTTAGCCATTCCTTGTTTAGTTGTCCTCCACAAAAAGGGGGTCACTTCCTTATATCCATTTAAAGCAATTGCTTTTTGGAACAGAAAGGAATAGTTGTTACAGTAGCTGGAATGGTTTGTGTTTGCTTTTCTGCTGTGCTCATGCACACACATTCACAACAGCAAGCTAGAGATCTGTGTCTGTAAGACAAGCTTCACATTTCACTATTGACAACTCTGGGCCAAACTTATGCTGTTACCAGCTCTGATTATAACCAGGTCCTATACATTTGTGTTTTCAGTGCAGCGTATCAAGCACATGACAGTAGTATCAGTAGCTCTCTTTGATGTAAAGGTCATTTTAACACTGCTTCCCAGGGCAGAAAAGTTCCAAGTCTCAGTAGTCTGTGTAACACAAAGACTCTTGTGCAAATCATGAATTTGCGGTTTGCAGAGAAGACATGTGCTGTGAAGGCAAGTCATGCAGAATTCACAATTATTTTGTCAGATTCTTTTCAGTGGCGCCATGCATGCTTTTCTTATTGTTTAAGCAAGTTGTTCCCAACCTTTTTTTTTCTGACCAAGAACCATTTGACCAGGAACCACTCTCCAACATTAGTACCAAAAGGATTACGAATCAGTTTCTGATCAACTTCAGATTTGGTTTGGTTATTTGGGGTGCTGATTCAGAAAATTGCATTGGATAGACCACATCACCTCTAGCTTCTCAATACAGAACATATGCCATCCATTAGTTGCCATGTGCTCTCCAACAGAAAACCGTGTTTAATAATCTAGAGCTGATGTGGTAGTAGTAATATTTCGTAAGTCATCATTCTCTCTCCTTCCGACATCCCTGTTGCCTTGGCACTATAAGAGGGTTTCGTGAGACCAGTCACTCTCATTGCCTCGTGGTTTCAAGGCAACCGTGTTGTGAGGTCACGAATCATATTTTCATTTTTGTGGACCACTGGTAGTCCACAAAAAGAATTCCTAATTACATGTCTTAAACCAATGGTTCCCAACCTGTGGTCTGGGAACCACTGGTTTAAGCCATGTAATTAGGAATTCTTGTCATTGTATAAGTATATAGTTATTACCATTGCAATATTCACTCTCAATCAGAGAACTTGTTGATAAAGGAGCCCAACTTCTAAAGCTCCCTGCTACCAGTATGTCATTCAAGGCAATCTGTACAAGCAATTGATTTGTATCTAACCACAGAATAGAACCAGTTTTTTTCTTTCCAGTTCTGTTCATCAACTCCCATCTGAACAAGAGAGAGAACTATACATTAACCCAATTTTGAAAACAAAGATAATGATGATGAAATAGAAGTCTCTCCCAAGATAGAAAGTGAAGTGCAAACAAGTGTAGTTAAGCTGCTGTAATCAATTACCCTGTTGCTTCTTAAACTGGGATCCCTACCCAAAATGGGGTCCCCTTAGCTTAATGTTGGGGTCACGAAAAATTTGGCAGCAGTAAACAGTTTCTGAATGTCACCCATTTACACAAATCCATTAGCAACGATATGCGGTATTTACAGTGGACTCTGTAGAAAATGCTTCACAAAAAGGAAAATCAGCCTTGCAAATGTTGGATTATTATCAGTAAATGTTTGGTTTTTATATTATTTTATATACCTATATACCTGAGGTCACATGAGCATTTCACAAAGTGGAAAAAAGTTGTGAGTGGGAAAGGTTTGAGAAACCCTGAATTAACCTATTATTCCTCCATGATTCAGCATGAGAAACTAGAGTGGTCTCATTTTGCATTTCAGTCTGATTTCCCTCTGAATGAATTCCTTCTAAGGGTTTATAATGTTTTTGCTCAGGCAGTCAACTATGGCCCATTTTCTTGCCTGTGACTTTTGTTTTTCTTTCTGATTTCAGGCCATGGTACATTCCTCCCAGCACTGTGCAGTGTGCATGCAGTTTGTCCGAAAGGAAAACTTGTTGTCTCTGACTTGTCAGCACCAGTTCTGCCGTAGCTGTTGGGAGCAGCATTGTACAGTACTGGTCAAGGACGGAGTCGGAGTTGGTGAGCTCGGAGCAAAGGGTTATTTGTAAATGTTTAGCTATATTGGCCTCCTACCCTTACTTTCTCCCTTCTTTCCTCTTCTTTCCTCTTACTTTCTTTTATGACCTTTTATTATAATAGGGAATATAGATATGGAGCTTGTTCTTAAAAGGAACCAAATCCAAATAATTTGAAAAATTGAGGTATAGATGGCAGCACATTGTTGGCTAGGAGTAGAATATTACATACAGATCAAAATGTATTATATCGTTTTGGTGCAGGGCTTCAAAAATAGCATTTTATAGCAAAATAATGCATATCCTCAGCACCTTTTTTCTGATCCCTATAAAATTTGTTCAGATGAATTTGGTACCTTTTGGAAATAAACTTCATAAATGTGTTCAATCAAAGCCAAATACCTTATAGTCTCTGCAAGTCTGTGGCTACAAATCATTTTGGGGAGGTGAGTGAGTCAGTTCCCTGCAGCCCTTTCTGATTTCTGATTGTGACCTGCTGAAGAATATTAAATATTCTTCCCAGATATTTAATACTCAGCTTTTCATAGTAATGGGATAAGGATGATGACCTGTTAGGATCACAGCCTATTGGGGATTATGGATTGTGACCTCTTAGGATCATAACCTATTGGGTAGCAGAGTTATGGAGATATTCCTTTATTTTATTGAGTAATGGATGATTGCTGGGTTCGTAAATATCTTGTTTCTATTCAATGCTTTCAGCAGACAAAGATTCAAGTGGACTTTTTAAAAAGTAACATATTTGTTTACTTATAACTTGATGTATTTAAATATACAGGCACATTTTTTGTCAGGTTAAACTTTAAAACATTTCAGTTTGTATTTTATTGTCTTTAACAATCTGTTCAAAAACTCTGTACTGTTCTCTTTTATAAGAGTCTACCTTCAAAGGAATTCAAGCAGAAACAGTTTTCTAACTTCCTATGCTGACATCTGACTAAAAAAACAGACTTCTGTACTCAAGCTGACTCAAGGCTTAACTGTCTTCTGAGTTCTAACACTAACTTCTGTATTCTAATTGACTCAGGCCTCAACTGTCATTCCTCAGCTAAAAAGCATTCAAAATAGTCATGTGATCTGCAGCCCCTCCCACTGCCTCATGTACATAGAGCTAAGGAAACTGCAGACCAAAGAAGACATACAGCTCAGGAAATAAAACGACACATTATAAGCAGACAAACATCAAATAGAGGAGGCTTTAGAAGGTTGCTATCTCCAACACATAGTATGGACCAATCCCATTATTTTCCTTTCAATTACCACTGCTCTAGAATCACAAATGCTCTCTGCTAATTGAAAATTTCTCATAATAGTATTCCAGGTCAGACTCTCAAGAAATCTACTAAATTGCATTTTGAAAGTTTGGCAGTTTTAAGAAAATGAATAGCCATAATCTTCTGATAACATTGGATTAGTCTCTTTCACTGTAAAAGGGACTTTTCCCCACTTTGTTTTTTTAACAGGTGTTTCCTGCATGGCTCAGGACTGTCTGCTCCGGACCCCAGAGGATTTTGTGTTTCCATTGCTACCTAGCGAGGAGCTGAAAGACAAATACAGACGCTACCTCTTCAGGGACTACATTGAGGTATTGCTTGTCATTTTGATCAGAAAATTTTATACTGTGCGTTGGAAAGATAAATAATTTCTGCAGATCTGCATACTTTATATACACTTGAAGCAGTGATCAAACATATCCTGAAACAGTTTCATTTAGTTGCTAAAATTTCCAGCTGTGTTTAGCTGATAGAAAAAATAAAGACTTTCAGGTGTCCCTCCCCCCATTCTCTCTCCATGATTTTTTCAAAAAGTGTCCAAATAGAAATACAATATATGCAAATACAGCAAAACCTTATCTCATCCGAAGAGCACCTTCTTGATCAGTGGTACCCAACCTTTGGTCCTCCGGGTGTTTTGGACTCCCAGTTCCCAGAGATCCTCGCCATCTTACCAGTTGTGGGAGCTGAAATCCAAAACATCTGGAGGATCAGTGTAAATACCTTTAGATGTATGAATTAGCTTGTTTCTTAAAATGGATTTTCAGTCAAACTATCTGAGCAACTCAGGTGGCTTTATAGGTGTATCTCAGTTAATATTTGTCCTCTCTATTTTAATATGTGTATTTTATAAAAATATGTTTTAATATGTGCTTTTTATTGAATTTATTTTATTATGATGATGTATTTAACTGTGTTATCTCTTCCTTGAGCCACAAGGAGAGATAGGTAATAAATTTAAAATTATTATTATTAAGCATCTGACAAGGTCTTTTTACTCCTACTCAAGCTTAATTTCTTGGTACTCTGTTCAGCTAGAAGAGGGGTGTTTAGTATTGTTGTTGTTGTTGTTTTTAATTTGAGCATTGAGAGCTTTGTAAAGAAGGGCAGGAGAAACAGATTGCTGGGTTAAAACAGACATTGCAGTAAATATTGCAATAAAGTTTGACCTTAAAGAGAATGGTATTCTACTCTAGCTGATTTACGATAGCTGTGTTTACTTGCCTGCAACAGACAATGTAAACAATAATTGCCTCCAGAATCTTACTTAGTATGTGTGAACAGAAAAACAGTGAGGAAAGTAAATATGATGGTCTCACCAGCTCTTGTCAATATGATTTTAAAAGACATAGATCTATAAATCTGATAATAAAAAGAAAAATCATAAGAAAACTGGAGTCTGGTGAATGCATAGGATAGCATCACTAAATTAATTTTTGGGAGAAGCTTTCAAATGGTCTCCACAAAATTCAGAATATTTTTTCTTTGTTAATGTAAGCATTAGCTAACCTAGATATTTCCTTTCTTCTAAGCATATTGTTAGTTTTGAATAAAAACTTTGTTGCAATTTGTTGAACACAAGGATGGTAGCAGAAAAGACACATGATTTTTAATATTCTATTACATTTCTCTAATAGTATTTATATTTAAGTTTAAAGTTTTTAAAAGATTTCTTCTAATATATATTTCATGTGTTGCCTAATGGTCTGTTGACTGCAATAACATTGTTGTCATTAGGTTGTTGTAGGTTTTTTCAGGCTATATGGCCATGTTCTAGAGGCATTCTCTCCTGACTTTTCTCCTGCATCTCTGGCAAGCATCCTCAGAGGTAGTGAGGACCTCACTACCTCTGAGGATGATTACCATAGATGCAGGTGAAACGTCAGGAGAGAATGCCTCTAGAACATGGCCATATAGTCCGAAAAAACCTACAACAACCCAGTAATTCCGGCCATGAAAGCCTTCGACATTGCATTGTTGTCATTGAACCATCCTTCCTTCTTGTAGAGTAGGAAATTATCCCTATTCTTTCCGTGACTTCCAGACTTTAGGAGATACCTTTCAACAAGAATTCAAATTGAATTTTTGGGATAGTGGTTTGTTTTTATTTTTTTACACATAGAACAATGAAAACAGCTGTTCTCTACTTGCTTCACAGAGCCATTTCCAGCTGCAGCTTTGTCCTGGTGCAGACTGCCCTATGGTCATACAGGTACAGGAGCCCAAAGCCCGCCGAGTGCAGTGCAATCGCTGCAACGAAGTTTTCTGGTAAGGAGGTAGAGCGGCATATTGAACTGAGTAAAATGGAAACTATAGGCATGGGTGCTGGTATAGGTCTGGAAATTATGTAGCTCATACTCTCTTTATTGACTAGAAGTGGCTATGTAGTCACTGGGCAGATGTGGTCATTGAGGGATCAGGGGGCATGAAAACAGCATGGGGCATTCTTTGGATCTCTGCTTCTTAAACTGTGGATCCAGAGCCCAGATGGGGTCCCCTTAGTTCAATGTTGGGGTCCCAAAATTGGCAACAGTAAAAATTTTCAGGACACCACTCATTTACACAAGAAAATCAGTCTGTTTTGAAAGCCTTGCAAAATGCTGATTTATTATCATCAGTGTTTAGTTTTTATACCTGTATACCTGGGGTCATGTAAACATTTCTCAGGCAGAAAGAGGTTGAGTGGAAAAGATTTATGCAGCCCTGCTCTGGTCTTTTCATGAGTTCCTTAGTCTGACCGTGTCAAGCAAGTAGAACAGAAAAGAACTTCTTCTAGTGCCAGGCAGTCCAGATAAAATACAGTGAGCTCAATACCCATCTTAAGTGGATATTCAAGGCTCCTTCCTAATCCTTAAATGTCTCATGGCTGAAGAAGATTCTAAACCAGGCATGAGGAAACTTTGGTTCTCTAGGTGTTTTGGACTTCAACTCCCACAATTCCTAACAGCCAGTAGGAGGGTCGAAGTTTGCTCGTGCCTGTTGTAAACAAAAATGGCATGTAGATCTGACTCTAAGACAAATCTGTGGCTGAATTTTAATATACTATCAAGATTATGAAAAGGCATAAAAACTACAAAATACAATGTACTCATAGAACCATAGAGTTGGAAGAGACCTCATGGGCCATCCAGTCCAACCCTGTGCCAAGAAGCAGGAAAATTGCATTCAAAGCACCCCTGACAGATGGCCATCTAGCCTCTGTTTAAAAACCTCCAAAGAAGGAGCCTCCACCACGCTCCGGTGCAGAGAGTTCCAGCTCTCACAGTCAGGAAGTTCTTCCTCATGTTCAGATGGAATCTCCTTTCATGTATAATTTGGCATTGTGTTTAAATCATGGGCATGTTTGGTGCACAAAATTAGGGATTTTGATATTACCCATGGATAAGTTGAGGGTCCTTCTACAGAAATGGGAAAGCACCAATGCTGCCCTGGTGCCCTACCATCATTTTCCCACTCAAGTTTTCAGAAAGTCCAGAAGCAGTGCCATGACAGAGAAAGTAGAGTGTAGAAAACTGTGCACCAAGCTATGCTAAATGCTACCATAATCTTATTTAGTTCGTATATGAACTCCTTTGGTAAGATAAAAAAGAGATATAAAAGGGTTTAAAATGTTAAAACATCAGTAAAATATTATTTTTTCTTAATTGAACCCAGATTTTAAAAAATGATTTCAAAAGGTTTTACTAGGCAAGGAACGCTCAGAGCTAGTTTTGCCAGTTTCTTCCTTTGAAATATAATCTGTATCACTGGATATTCACTGGCAGATTCCCATCCAAGTACTACTTGGCTTCTAAGATCACATGAGTTTAAGGTATTTAAGGCGATATGTGAAATGTATAGGCCTACACAAAGTTTTAATAGCTCTTGTATTGAATGGCAAAGAACTCATAATTTTTATGATTACTGTTTTTGCCCTTTACAAAAACTAATGATTGTCTGCATTATTTTTTTCTTCTTGCTATAAATAGTAATTTGGTTACATGTATCTCTTTTAAGTTTCAAGTGTCGGCAGATGTACCACGCTCCCACAGACTGTGCCACCATCCGAAAATGGCTCACTAAGTGTGCGGATGATTCTGAAACAGCTAACTACATCAGTGCTCACACTAAAGATGTAAGTGTGTTGGAGTTTATAAGTTCGCTTTTGTTTTTTGTAGTCTATACACATAATAAAAGTGAAAATATGTATATGTGTGGTTGGGGGAGCCCCCAGTGGTGCAGTGAGTTAAACTGCTGAGCTGCTAAACTTGTTGATGGAAAGGTCACAGATTCGAATCTGGGGAGCGGCATGAGCTTCTGCTGTCGGCCCCAGCTTCTGCCAACCTAGCAGTTCGAAAACATGCAAATGTAAGTAGATCAATAGGTACCACTCTGGCGGGAGGGTAACAGTGCGCCATGCAGTCATGCTGGCCACATGACCTTGGAGGTGTCTACGGACAACGGCGGCTCTTCAGCTTAGAAATTGAGATGAGCACCAACCCCCAGAGTCGGACACGACTAGACTTAATGTCATGGGAAAACCTTTGCTTTACCTAGGTGTGGCTGGGGTGTACACTTATGCCTGTGTTTTTCAACCTGGGGGTCACGACCCCTGGGGGGATGGGGAGGGGGGGTCAGAGGGGTTGCCAAAGACCATCAGAAAACACAGTGTTTTCTGTTAGTCATGGGGTTTCCATGTGGGAAGTTTGGCCCAATTCTCTTGTTGGTAGGGTTCAGAATGCATCCTGCATATCAGATATTTAATAACAATTCTGAATAATACAGTATACCATCCTGCATGTCAGATATTTACATTACAATTCATAACAGTAGCAACATTACAGTTATGAAGTAGCAACAAAAATAATGTTATGGTTGGGGGTCATCACAACATGAGGAACTGCATTAAGGGGTTGCGCCATTAGGAAGGTTGAGAACAACTGATTTACACAGACAAGCTCCTACCTCCACAAACAGTTATAGCTCCCACTACTCAGGAGACACTGAAGGCTCTCCCTCCAATGAAATTGCAGGTTATAGTGAGTGCCATGAACATGTATAATAACCCTGCCAATGTCTTCCACCACCCAAGTGAAGGCTTTCATATGGGGACAATTTCATCCTAGATTTTGTGTGTTTCCTCCACCACAGACATCCCAATGTTTCTTACTCTCTTCATTGGTGTGGAATTTGCATGACCCCGCTCAATGCTATAGCACACATCAAACAGGGGAATTGATCAAGGAGTGACTGCCAGCCATTATAAATAAATGGGCCTATAAGCTTATTTAGTACATGTCAGTCCTCCTCCTGCTTTTTCTAGAAATCATTTTGTACTGCTAGTAAAGGCAGGAGTATGAAGTACAATTGAAGCAAGTGGAAGAATAAGGAGAACAGAGACTGAAAGGCAAGGCAGGAAATAATGGTGAACGTCTGTGGATTGGAAATGCAGGAGGAGATCTAATGCTCTCCCATATTTTCTCCCTAGTGTCCCAAGTGCAATATCTGTATTGAAAAGAACGGTGGCTGTAATCACATGGTAAGCCATTCCTGAACAAGATCAGGACTTCTTTCAATATATTGCTTGATTTTAATTAAGCCTATTTTTGCTTGTACCTTGATGATGTTTTTTTTTTCTTCTGTTTTCCCCCTCCCACTTTTTCTTGTGCAGCAATGTTCAAAATGCAAGCATGGTAAGTACACAGCAGAAGGTCTTTGGGTGTTGAGGAAAAGGTTTATCCCCCTTTGAAACCACTCTGGATATCCAGTCGTGTACTTTAAGTGGGGAAAAACATTCAGTAGCAATCAGATTGTTCCTAACAAGAGCTGCTGTCCCATACAACTTCTGCAGTAACCTGGATCCCCCTTATCTCCTACAGACTTCTGCTGGATGTGTCTAGGAGACTGGAAGACCCATGGCAGTGAATACTATGAATGCAGTCGGTACAAAGAAAATCCTGATATTGTAAATCAGAGTCAGCAAGCACAGGCCAGAGAGGCCCTTAAGAAATACTTGTTCTATTTTGAGAGGGTAGGTGATGGCTTTTTGGCTAGAGTTAATTGTAGGCACCTTGTCTTGTGCCAAGAATCAATGCTAACAAAGCCTGCGTTTGCATATGCTCATTGGAGCAATGTTCTGTAGCCGCAGTCGTTACATCAGCTGCATTTAGATTCTTCCTCAAGGTTATTTTTCCAGATGGGTGCTTCTGTTCAGAGAATCCCTGTCAGTCCAGTAATGAGAGCGCTCCCTTTCAAAGTCCATAGCATTTGTTTGCTGTCAGTCTTGCAATACTGAACTACCTGTGCTCTATGGGGAAGCCTTTCATGACTGTGCTACTTGCCTTTCATAAATCAGTGTTCCCCTGCACCAAATCTAAAAATACTCCTTAGGTCACTTGCATCGAACTCGAGGCCCTTGGGCTGAATCCAGCATGCCATGTCATTTTCTATGGCCCTCCAGTGGAAATGTTATATTTCTCCTAGAGTCCATTGTCAAAAGATAATTTGATACAAAAGTATGTCTCAATTTAAAAGAAACTTCTCTACAGTATTTTCAGATCAGTAGTTCTAGTTTGTTGTACCTCAGCTTTTCTTCTTTACTTGCTGTCTCAGTAAACATTTACACTGTAATACTCCCTTTTTCACATTTGTAGTGGGAAAACCACAATAAGAGCTTACAGTTGGAGGCACAGACATACCAGCGGATTCAAGAGAAGATACAGGAAAGGGTGATGAACAACCTGGGAACTTGGATAGATTGGCAGTACCTACAGAATGCAGCAAAGCTACTGGCTAAGGTGTGTGTGTATGTTAGCTGTTAAATGCCGCTCCATCTTGTCTGTATCGGAAAGGGATGTGGTGTGATCAGACACAGTAAAAGTTTGGTTGTTGTGATATTTCCGGGCTGTATGGCCATGATCCAGAGGAATTCTCCCCTGACATTTCACCCACATCTATGGCAGGCATCCTCAGAGGGTGTGAAGTATGTTGGAAACTAGGCAAGTGGGGTTTATATATCAGTGGACTGTCCAAGGTGGGAGAAAGAACTCTTGCCTGCTTGAGGCAAGTGTGAATCTTGCAAGTGATCACCTTGACTAATATTGAATATTCTTGCAGTTTCAAAGCTTGGCTGCTTCTTGCCTGAGAGAATCCTTTGTTGGGAGGTGATTAGCTGGCCCTGATTGATTCTTGTCTGGAATTCCTCTGCTTTTTTTAGTGTTGCTCTTTATTAACCGTTCAAATTTTACTGTTGTTTTTTTTAATACTGGTAGCCAGATTTTGTTCATTTTCATGGTTTCCTCCTTTCTGTCCTTTATGTCCACATGCTTATGGATTTCAATTGCTTCTCTGTGTACTCTGGCATGGTGGTTGTTGGAGTGGTCCAGCATTTCTGTGCTCTCAAATAATATGCTGTGTCCAGGTTGGTTCATCAAGTGGTCTGCTGTGGCTGACTTCTTAGGTTGATGTAGTCTGCAGTGCCTTTCGTGCTCCTCGATTCATATTTGGGTGCTGTGTTTGGTGGTCCCTATGTAGACTTGTCTACAGCTACATGGTATACTGTAGACTCCTGAAGAGATGAAAGGATCCTTACAAGTATACATAGGGACCACCAACGCAGCATTGCCATAGATGTGGATGAAACGTAAGGAGAGAATGCTTCTAGAACATGGCCATATAGCCCGAAAAACCTACAACAACCCAGTGATTCCGGCCATGAAAGCCTTTGACAATACAGTTCATTAATTGTTTAGCCATGGAGTCTTACCCATGACCTGAAGAGTTTAAATGTTGAAATGGTGAACAATAGGCATCAATCAAGGAAGGCATCGAACTGCATTTCTTAGTAGTGTGAATTCATATTGAGTAGAGATCTGAATTATAAATTGGGTTGAGTTTTTGTACCTTAAAATCCTGTTATGATACTGTTGGACAATCAGAGCATGGAACCATTTCTTGTATGCCTCTGCGTCTAAATGTAGCTTTTGAAAGCTATATTGACTGGGAGTACCAAAAGATGACAGACAGCTGACCCCAAGATTTGGAGAAGAGCAGAGAGCTGCTCACCAATCTTCCTTTAATTTTTTCTCTCCAGTGTCGTTACACGCTGCAATACACATATCCATATGCCTACTACATGGAATCTGGTCCCAGGAAGAAGTTGGTAAGAATTCTGTATTTAATAGCAGATAAATGTCTTAATGAAGCAGGAGGGAAACATGGAAGTTCGGATAAAAGTTCATATCCTGTCCTTATCTGAGATTGACCCAAAGGCACATCGTGGAAATCAACTGATAAAAGGAAGTTCTAACCTTGTAGGATTGGATTGGAAGATTCCTGGGGAACAACATCTAAGCTAGTGGGTAGATGTTGTAAGCAAGAGTGAGATATAATTGTAACAGATTGCTTATCTTGTTTTTATTTTGACTTCTATGGAGTGTCTTTGCCAATAATGGCAGAATATAACATTTCAATCACAAATTAAATATTCCCATGATGTTGAGAATAATTTATTTGTAGCACAAAGGGCAGAATCATGTAATAATAATAATAATAACAACAACAACAACAATAGTAACAACACTTTATTTATATTCTGTTATTATTATGTAATAATAATTATTATATTCTGTTATTATTATGAAATAATAAAACAACAACAACACTTTATTTATATTCTGCACTATCTCCTCAAGGGGACTCAGAGGGGATTACAACATGCATAGATAGGCAAACATTCAATGCCTTTAATACAGTGGAATAACGATGATTTGCAATTACACAGAACAAAGGTAAAGGCTTCCCTTGTCATCTCTGGCTTTCTGGAGGCAGTGCTCAACTCTGGCCATGGGGAGGTACTCTTGTTCCATTTCCAAGCTGAGGAGACTGTTGTCTGTAGACACTTCCTGGCTGTGTTACCGGCATGACTGCATGGGTGCCTTTATTACCTTCCCACCAAAGTGATACCTATTGATCAACTCACATTTGCATGTTTTTGAACTGCTAGGTTGGCAAGAGCTAGGGCTAACAGCGGGAGCTCACCCCAACCTGCAGCTTCAAACTGCTAACCTTTAGGTCAGCAGATGTAACGGTTCAACAGTTTAACCCGTTGCACTACCGCGGCCCACTAATAATAATGATAATAATAATAATTTTGTTTATATCCCACCCCTTGGTGAGGCGGCTATTTTAATACAGTATGACCATCATATCCACAGGTGATATGTTCCAAGATACACAAACATTGAAAGTACAGATAATGGCGAGCCCTACATTTTGCCTGTATGTGATCCAAAAGTATACCATAGAATAGGCATGGGCAAACTTCGGCGCTCCAGGTGTTTTGGACTTCAACTCCCACAATTCCTAACAGCTGGTAAGCTGTTAGGAATTGTGGGAGTTGTAGGCCAAAACACCTGGAGGGCCGAAGTTTGCCCATTCTTGCCATAGAATCGCAGTGTAGGATCTAGAGAGGCCCACAAATCTTTCCAGTGTGGGAATATTTTTTGGAAATTCGGGTGAACTGTGAATGTTGAATCCATTGGTAAGCTGGTCATACTGTATTGTAACTATCTTTTCAACATTCTTCATCTTCTCATCTTTAAGGCCGAACAACAATTTTCTGTGAATTCTTGTTTTGTTTTGTAGGGAAGAAGACAAGTAACATAAAACAAACTGCTGTTCAAAAAACAATTAGCAAGAAGCACATGTGCAAATGTGTAATCTTTTAAAATGTTATTTGCTTGCCTACCCATTGCTAAAACCATTATTTATTTATTTCATATATTTATATCCCGCCCTTCTCCCCACAAGAGGGACTCAGCGAGGCCTCACATGAGCATCAGAGGATGCTAACAGCATAAATACCATAAAAATTACAATTCACAATAAAATCATTTTAAAACATTATACAACATCATCCGTAAAATTTAACAATAAATTAATAGATTAACGTGCCAGTAAAACCAAGCCGAGCCGGGAGAATCCATATCGCAAAATCCAAATTTCCTTTTCCTATTGCCGCTGGCATCTAATCGACCGCCTGGTCCCAGAACCAGGTCTTCAGATGTCTTCTAAAGGACAGGAGGGAGGTGGCCAACCTGATAGCCTTAGGGAGAGAGTTCCACAGACCGGGGGGCACTGCCGAGAAGGCCCTGTCTCTCATCCGCACCAACCTCGTTTGCGAGAGTGGTGAGATCGAGAGCAGGGCCTCTCCTGATGATTTTAGGCTTTGTGATGGTTCATAGCAGGAAATACGTTCGGACAGGTAATCTAGGCCAGAACTATGTTTGGATTTAATGAATATATTTAAAGGCTTAAACATATACTGATAACACACAAAAGTTTTGCATCCCTTTATAAGAATAGCCTTGATAAGCTGTGCCACAAGATCACAATATGAATACTTCCAGGGTACAGACAAGAACTGAAGAATGACCAACAGTGACATCATATTTGAATGTGGAATTTGCCCAGCACCTTTTAATACTCATTCAGTTAGACATCAGATGTAGAAATGTTGCCTTCTGACCGCTCGAGTCTAATGAATGTGCTTTGATTTTTACTTGCTGACTCTTGTTCCTTCATTGTGAACAGCAACAGCCATGTGTATTTTTTAAGCAGGAGATGTGAGAAGGGAGGGAAAGAGGACAGAAAAAGTGTATCTTTTTTTTCCTTTTGATTTTTTTTCTGTTTTTGTTTTTTCAGTTTGAATACCAGCAGGCTCAGCTGGAAGCAGAAATTGAAAATCTCTCATGGAAGGTAGAGAGAGCAGACAGTTATGACAGAGGGGTGAGTAACAAGGTTTGGCCGTCCTCCTTCTACCTAATTCATGAACTCAGTGTCTGCACCGAGTGCGGACAAACTTGGTCCCTCCAGGTGTTTTGAACTTCAACTCCCACAATTCCTAACAGCCAGTAGGCTGTTAGGAATTGTGGGAGTTGAAGTTCAAAACACCTGGAGGACCCAAGTTTGCCCATGCCTCTGGTCTACACAGAGGAGATCAACAAATCTCGTGTTTGATATTGTGAGAACTGGTATCAGAATTGGAGACGTGGTTGGCTCCTTGAAATCTTTGACATCTTCCACAAACACCATACAAGAGTGGCTTTTTTTCTGAGAAATAGAGCTACAAACTACACCCCAAAACAAACTGCCTTTTTCAAAACTAGTTTTTAATAAAATCCACAAAAGCCAAACCCACATATGTAGAGGAAGGGGGGATTGTAGAGTTGGAATTGTCTGTTAATTTCAGGGTGTAGAACTTCCCTTGCACACATACCTTTCTGGAAACCACCTCTCCGATTTATTCAGTCTTTGCCCACTTCCTTGCCAGCAGGAAAAAAAAAGCTGGTCTTGCTCTTTCTCTCCCTTCCCAGGACTTGGAGAACCAGATGCACATAGCTGAGCAGAGGAGGAGGACCCTGCTGAAAGACTTCCATGACACATAAAGGAGCAGGAGCACCCAGGGCGCAGGGGCAAGAGCCAAGGGCCAGGCGATGGTGGTGAGAGCGGCAGCAGAAGCAGCACAAGGAATTGGCCACCCGTCGCCACCTCTGCCGAGAAGGGCTGAGGACAACACTTCACCCCGCCCCTTGCAAGCCAGACACGAGCTAGCACCACCGCAGCATAGTCTTCTGTTTTTCTTCTTTTTTCCTGCTTTTTGTTTTTGCCAGGCTAGAGGCTGGAGTTCCAATTGGCACCTTTTTCCTGGGACTTCTTCCTCCCTTCCGCTCTTGGGATCGTTCTGGGAGAGAGTTGGTTTTTTTCTTTTCTTTTTCTTTTCCCTTAATGGGCTGTTAATAGCATTAGATCATTACAAACTTGCCTAATTTTTCAACGGTTGTACAATTATACAAAACTGACCCTAGAAAAACACAACCCCCCCCCCACACTTTTTAAAAAAATAAATTGGAATTGGAGTGTGTTTCCTTTTGGATAAGCTGCTTGTAAACTTTAATGGCTGCTTCTCTCCTCTCCTTCCACCCCTCTTTTGCACTGAAGGTTATGAAATAGACCAGCAGTCTGTTTGTCTGTCTGTATATCTGTCGGCACCTCTGGAGTGCCCTTTTTTGTATTGCTTGCCCTGTGACTGCATGAGGTGAACAGTGCCAAGTCCGGCATACCATTGAGGGCTCTCCTTCTCTGGCGTTGCTGCAGCAGTTGGGTAATGTTCAGGGCAGCATGGGAAATGGCTTCAATCTTACTGTTCCATTGACTTGAGGTTTTCCTCTCCCCCCCCCCCTCCCCGGCATGGATTTGTTTCATTGCTTTGTTTCTCTGGGCTTCCCTTTTCTGCCAAAATTTGAATACTTGAAGGGGTTCTGTGATTTACAACCTCAGCTCTTGGTAGCATAGTTACAGATGTTTGGTTTTGCCTTGGGGCTGCAGGACAAGCCATGTTTATGTCTACACCTTGCAGAGGTGTGCAATCCCATCACATTGTGTGACAACCTAGTCCTTGACATGACTGTAAGGTGACACATCAAGCTTGATTCCTCTTGCCCTGACGAGTTCAGGCTTCCCTGCTGTGTATTGAGAGAAAGCTGTGCCATTTAACATGTTTGATTATTACTATTAATATTATTATTATTTAGGAAAAAAATATTGACAGCATGACAAGTCCTTTGAAACATGTTGAAATTATAAATAAGTACTCCTGTCCTAGATACTACTCAAAAGCTGGCAGAACATCAGATTAGTAGAGTGCTGCATAACTAGTATGAAGGTTTGTGGTTGCTTTTGATCGGCAGGAGATTCCTGGATGTGTGTTAAGGTCAATTTTTCCTCCATTCATGGTAAAGGCTCACTGTAAAATAGTGTGTCAAAACTGCTTTGTATGATGTGTGGACACTTAGAGAGGAAGGTGGAACTGCTGGCTTTTATTCCCCCTGAAGTTTCTTTGTTGATGGTCTGAAATAAGAATACCGTTGCCACTTTGTTTTATAAAAGCTTGTTGCACTGAGCTTTTCTTTGTGCATTGATCATGACTTGTTTGGATTTGGAGGATGGGTTGGATCCTTATCCTCTGCTCATTTCACTTGTCTTTCTGACCTTTGAGTTGTACTCACGACTTAGACATGGATTGCCCTGGCTCTTGGAGCTCACCTGCCATGCCACCCTCTGTCCCTTCAGCTGCTGCTACTACTACCTCAGGCACTCCAAGAAAAATGATGATACCCTCCACCTGCTTGCTCCCTTAATAGATGACCCCAGGCCCTTTTAATACGACTATCTCCCCTTCCACTACTAGCCCATTAACCACCCATTAGTCAACTATAGGAGGGAAGGCGCTAGGCTAACCATAAATGCCTAGAAGGGAACTTTCCACAGGCCCATCTTCTCCTCTTCCTTCCCTCTTCCATTTCCCTTTCCCCCCATCCCATTGGTCTTTTATAAGTCTCTTTGTAGCTAATACAGCATGACAACCTCATCTGGCTTGCTCCTTTAACCCATGTTGGTCTGCTGTAAGCGGAGGTCGTGTGATTGTGTTCTCTTGGCGATAGATGTTTCAATTTTCTCTGCATGACGTCCACACCTGGGCCTTTTGATATATAGAAACAGAGCCAAACTCTTTTAGCAAGTACAAAAAGTTCAGTCTGTGTGTGATATAAATTACCTACAGGATATGTTAGCATTCATTCTGTTACTGATTTTGATGGAGCTGGAGTGTACAAATTGCTAGTGCAGGGTTATTTCATTAACCCATCAGCCATTGGGTCAGATTGGCTTCCAGAGATGGAGGGTGTTTAACTTCCCAGTTTCTACTCTTCAGTACTCATCTGACCTTCTTGCTTGCACATTGTTCAGTCTCTGAAAGAGGCGCACATCTTTCCCCCCCCTCTAAACTTAGACTGAATCCTCTCACTTGTTGAATTTATTGTGTTCAGGCATTCAAAGTTCTGTCATTTAGTAAAGGGAGTGATGTATGACTTGCACTACATCTGGCAAACACTTAGGAGCTGGTTGAGTTTGATGGTGGTGCGGTCACAACTTCCAACGTCGAACCACGCTTTCTATACAGTCCATGGAGGGTGCGCTCTGTAAGCAAGTACTGTAGGGCTCCATCCAACATTGCACAAGTAGACATCTGCTTCTGTATCAGATTTTCCTGCCTTCTTCCTGCATGGCCCCCAAAATTTGCTTTAGAGCAGGCATGAGCAAACAGGTGTTTTGGACTTCAACTCCCACAATTCCAAACAGGTGGAAGGCTGTTAGGAATTGTGGGAGTTGGAGTCCAAAACTCCTGGATGGCCGAAGTTTGCCCATGCCTGCTTTAGTGGGTATCGAACTCTGAAAGCAGATTTCATGGAAGACTATGGCTTGAGGTCAGGGGAAGAAGTGCTTCATTGGTGGTTGCCATTCTTTTTCATTAGTGAGTAGATACTGTTGGATTTCATCAGAATAGCTGCCATTGAGTCTTAAACTATTAGCATTTGTGTATGTATAAACTTATCATTTATAGTCTCAGAATGAGCAGGTTGTTATTTTCCCACAATATTCTTCCTATTTTGCACAATCCCTCAGACACTGCTTGAAAGGTTTTCTCACTGATGAAAATAGACGATGCCCTAGGAATGTATCGTGTTTTTCACTGTGGAAAAATAGAGCGCATGATCCTAGAGTAAGTGATATTTCCCCCATTTTGGAAAACCCCCACTACTCTTGTCACAGCCTGGTTTAGATGGGGAGACTGAAATTAAGAATTCATGGCATCTGAGCTGAGCAGGGACAATAAACCTGTGGCCTTCCAGATGTTGAACTTGCAACATCCTTCATCTCAAACCATTGGCAATGTTGACTGAGGTCAATGGGAGCTGAAGTCAAAAACTATCTGGAGGTTCACACTTTCCCAAGCCCTGCTAATTTAGTTCCTTCATTGCCAGCTAAGATCCTATACTCTCAGAGCTTTTGTCTTCCTCTTATTTCTCTAAGACTTGAGCCTAAACTGATTTGGCAGCTATTTGCATCCTTCATTCTGCTTTTTTAAAAAATTGGCTCAGCTCACCTTTGTCTCCGGTGCTTATTTACCGTACATTTAGTATTCCCCGTCACAGCTCTTTTGTAAAGAAACACAGAACACTTAAGGCAATACCTTTATACCAATTCCTGGTAACGAACATAGAGGCATTCAGTTTACACCGAATTCTCCTGGCCAACAGATTCCTGTGTCACTCAAAAGCTTGCGTCCAGACATCAAAAGAGACTCTAACAAACAGGAGAGAGATCTTCCTTCTAATCAGTTTTTTTGCTTGTACTCTCCTAGCACTCTTCTCTTTTGCTGCAGCTAAGAGTTTTATATTAACCTGGAACTGAATGTCATCGGTGTGCCATGCGTGTGCTACCGGAGGAACCAGAGACTTCTGTCCCTACTACAGCACTGTCTCACTTCATCTTAAACTTGTGTTTGTTTCTCAGATCAGCTTCATTTCTCAATGGCTTTTCCCTTGGAAAAGGCTCTTTTGTGCTCACTCAAGTCTGGACTGTTCCAAGTTTTCAGGTAGTAGCTTCTGCTATGGGAGCTTTTTTTTATTACGCAGAGTGCTACATTATCATGGCTGCCTTTGCTCTGTCCCTCATTGAGGTATGGGGGAAGGGAAAGCAATCTCAAGAAACTGCCAACACTTTTCCGGCATTGGGATGGGAAGGGGCCCGCGAAAAAGCCCTCAAAGTTTCCCTTCCTGAAATTGTTTATTTGAAATAAATTGTGAATTTCTAATTTTAAAGAGGCGTTTTGTCTTTTTCTTTCCGTTCTAATTGATGTGGAATGTATCACTAAATAACGAGAAACAAGTTGTGGGGTGAAACCAAAGCACGGGTAAATTGAATTAACCTGGAGCTGGAAGACTGTTGATCCACCAACTTGCAAGTGGTTACAGATCACCCTTCTGTTCTTGACCCTGACACATTTTTGCACTTTATCTCCTGGATATTGCATTTTATTGGTTTCTTTAATCTGCCAAGATAATTTTATGAAGTGGATTATACATCAGTTACACTTATGGTTAAACCACTGATCTGCTGAACTTGCTTGCCGAAAGGTTGGTTGTTCAAATTCAGGGAGTGGGGTGAGCTCCTGCTGTTAAGCCCAGCTTCTGCCAAATTAGTAGTTCAAAAACATGCAAATGTGAGTAAATCAATAGGTACTGCCTTGGCAGGAAGGTAATGGTGCTCCATGCAGTCATGCTGGCCACATAACTTTGGAAGTGTCTACAGACAACACTGGCTCTTCGCCTTAGAAATGGAGCACCGCACCCCAGAGTTGGACACGACTAGACTTAATGTCAGGGGAAACCTTTACCTTTATACTTACAGATATATTTTTCTGAAATATTTGAGACTAGTAGTGTTTTGGAAGAATACTTTTATTTGCATGTAAGTACATGCACAATTGGAGCCCCCAGTGGTGCAGTGGGTTAAATTGCTGAGTTGCTGAACTTGCTGACCAAAAGGTCAGTGGTTCAAACCCAGGGAGCAAGATGAGCTCCCTCTTCTGCCAACCTAGCAGTTCGTAAACATGCAAATGTGAGTAGATCAATAGGTACTGCTCCGGCGGGAAGGTAACGGCACTTAATGCAATCATGCTGGCCACATGACCTTGAAGCCGTCTATGGACAACACCAGCTCTTTGGCTTAGAAATTGAGATGAGCACCACCTCCTTTAGTCAGATATGTCAAGGGGAAACCTTTACCTTTACATACACAGTAAGATAGCTTGAATATGAACCTCAAATCTAAACAACATTCATATATGCCTTGGTGGCAGCTATTCTTGTCTTATGGAAACCCTAAAGGTTTTCTAGGGCTGAGGTTGTTTTGACTCACATAAGGTGACCAGCAGGGAATCGAATCCAGATCTCTGCAGCACTGCTGGTCACAGCTGACCTCTAGCTGGAACGCTCAAGGGCCAGGGCTTCTTAGTGCAATCTTTTGTTGAGAGGTGATTAGATGCACCTGATTGTTTCCCCTCTGTTGTTTTGCTGTTGTAATTTTAGAATTTTTTGATACTGGCAGCCAGATTTTGTTCATTTTCATGGTTTCCTCCTTTCTGTTGAAATTGTCCACATGCTTGTGGATTTCAATGGCTTCTCTGTGTAGTCTGACATGGTGGTTGTGAGAGTTGTCCAGCATTTCTATGTTCTCAAATAATATGCTGTGTCCAGGTTGGTTCATCAGGTGCTCTGCTATGGCTGACTTCTCTGGTTGAAGTAGTCTGCACAAGCATAAAGAAATTACATATATTAGAAACCAACACTTTCTCATTACTTTATTTTCCAGATCAACAGACTGGGCCACAGCAACGTGTGGCAGGGGACAGCTAGTATATTATATTATTAGCATAGTACAATATCAGCATTACACAGAGCATTTTATTATTTATTTATTTATTTATTTCTTATACTTGTATACCGCCGTTTCTCAGCCTGACCGGCGACTCAACGCGGTTTACAACAAGGATAAAATCAACAACAATATACAATGTAAAACCACAAAGGCATAAAATACAATATTAATCCAACAATAAACAACACAATGCATCTCATAACTAAAATCATGATCCAGTTATATTATATATAATTATAATATTATACTATTAGTAGTATTATATTGTATTACATTATAATATTATAAATATTATATGTATATACAATATATTATATTATTAGCATAGCACAGGAGACAAGGTGGAACTGTCTTCTGGCCTCTTCTCTCTTCACTCTGGCCCAGAGCAGCAGTTGGTTTACTTATATAGATGTATATGGATAGAGATTGATAGATATTCAGCCCTCTGCTAGCCCCGCCCACTTCTCTCATTTTGTCAACAAACCCGCACGTGAACAGACCCGGATAAGGCCATTTTTGCCTTATCAAAAATGGCTCCCATTTCCTCTCCAGCTCAGTTACATGGCAAGGTGCCCTTCTTCAAAATGGCTTCCCGCTCCAGGGCTATGACGTCAGCGAGGTGGAAGCGGAGCCGAAGAGGCTCCTGCAGCCGAAGGACGTGACCTCCACTAAAGTTGGCGCTTCCCATCTACAGTAGTTTGAGTCGCCAGTTGTTGTGGGACTTCATTTCCCAGAATTCCCGTTCATCGGCGATGTCGGCAGGGTCTCCTGGGAATTGAAGTCCTAAAGGGCAAAGGCGCGATCGAGAGGCTCCCGAGCGTGATGACGCAAGGCTACCCCCGCGCGCCAATGTTTATACAGCGAAGCCTCCAGGAAGTGCTGGCTTCCCATTGGCGGGGCGGTTGCCGTGGCGACGGGCCTAGCATGGCTGTGGCGGCCGGGTCGGAGTCGCCTTCTCCGCCGCCAAAAGAGGAGGAGGAGGAGGCGGAGGAGGAGGAAGACGAGGGCCCCTCGCTGCCAGGGGCCCCCATGGGGCGCAGGGCCGTCTGCTCCAGGCCTTACTTCGTGGTGCTGATGGTCTTCGCGCACCTCTACGTGCTCAACGTGCTGGGCTTGCTGCTCTTCGTCCACATCAGCGCCGATGACGGAGGAGGAGGAGGAGAGCCGGGCAGAGAGGCACAGGACTCGAACCCAGCGCCGCCCCCAGTGCCAATGCCAATGCCCATGCCCTCGGCTCCCCCGCACCTCCTGCCCCGTCTCGAAGGCATCAAGGCAAGTCTCTCTCTCCACTGAGGGACGGAAGCCGCTTGGCTCAGGCTAGGGAATCTCCAGAGTTGTCCTTTGGCGAGGCCTTCTCTGTGGCGGCCTCAACAAACTGCAGCTCCCAGCATTCCATAACATTGAGCCTTGGTTACATCCAGACTTGACTACTGTAATGCGCTCTACGTGGGGCTGCCCTTGAAGACGGCCTGGAAGTTTCAATTGGTACAACAGGCAACAGCCAGGCTAGATTCTTGTGTTTTTTTTCGGGCTATAGGGCCATGTTCTAGAGGCATTTCTCCTGACGTTTTGCCTGCATCTATGGCAAGCATCCTCAGAGGTAGTGAGGTTTGTTGGAATTAGGACAATGGGTTTATATATCTGTGGAATGGCTGGGGTGGGGCAAAGAGCTCTTCCCTGCTAGAGCTAGGTGTGAATGTTTCAAACGACCACCTTCATTAGCATTTGAAGGCCTGCCTGAGCCTGGGAAAATCCCCTGTTGAGAGATGTGTCCGAACGTATCTCCCTCTACGTCCCACCTCGGAATTTGAGATCATCTGGGGAGGCCCTGCTCTCGACCCCACCACTATCACAAGTGAGGCTGGTGGGGACGAGGAGCAGGGCCTTCTCAGTGGTGGCCCCTCACCTGTGGAACTCACTCCCGGGGAAATCAGGGCATCATCATCCCTCCTCTCCTTCAGGAGGAAAGTGAAGACGTGGTTATGGGACCAGGCCTTTGGGCAATCAGGCAATTAAGTAAGACAGTCAGGTGAATAAGACCAACAGGATTGATGAAGTGGAATGGAAAACTAGAACTATGAGTTAGCGATCGCTGACCTTGTAAGAGAGGAATTGGGTTAGTATTGGTTTTTATTGATTTTAGTGATTTTATTGATATAATGCATGAACTAGTGTGATGTAATTGTGTAATTGTCTAATTTTGTGTTGATTGTTTTGTACTGCAGGCATCGAATCGTGCCTTGCTTCTGTAAGCCGCCCTGAGTCCCCTTCGGGGTGAGACGGGCGGGGTAAAAGAACCCCAAATAAATAAATAAATAAATGTGCCTGGTTGTTTCCTCTCTGCTGTTTTGCTGTTGTAATTTTAGAGTTTTTTTAATACTGGTAGCCAGATTTTGTTCATTTTCATGGTCTCCTCCTTTCTGTTGAAATTGTCCACATGCTTGTGGATTTCAATGGCTTCTCTGTGTAGTCTGACATAGTGGTTGTTGGTGTGGTCCAGCATTTCTGTGTTCTCAAATAATATGCTGTGTCCAGCCAGGCTCCTTACTGGAGCAAACTATAGGGAGCATACAACACCCCTATTTTTTTTTTGTCGTGTCAGGAGCAAGTTGCTTCTGGTGTGAGAGAATTGGCCGTCTGCGAGGACGTTGCCCAGGGGACGCCTGGATGATTTGATGTTTTTATCATCCTTGTGGGAGGCTTCTCTTATGTCCCCGCATGAAGAGCTGGAGCTGATAGAGGGAGCTCATCCGCCTCTCCCCGGATTCGAACCTGCGACCTTCAGTCCTGCCGGCACAGGGGTTAAACCCACTGCGCCACCGGGGGCTCCCCAGTGAAATTAGGTTAACTGCTTCCCTCCTGTCCTTCGGGAAAAAGTTGAAAACGTGGCAATGGGACCAGGCATTTGGATAGTAGGTTGATAAATGATGACAATGCTATGGTAAATGGACTATGGACAGGCTCCACACCAAGTTGTTGATTGTAGAACTCAGATTTAGATTTGGCCAACTAATTGAATTTGCACTATTTTAAATGGTTTTAATTTATATTAATGTTTTATCTATTTTGTAATTGTTGTTTTATCTATGTGTATATGGGAGACATCGAATTGTTGTCAGCTGTAAGCCGCCCTGAGTCCTCGTTCGGGGATAGAGAAGGGTGAGGCTCAAATATCTTAAATAAATAAATAAATAATAGTGGGGTCGTGGACCATATTTTAGTTCTTGTGGACTACTGATGGTCCACAGACCACAAGTTGGAAACCACTGTTCTTCACTTTTGAATGAATGGATCTTGACCCTGCTTTACATACTATGGCTCAAGGTTGTGGAATCATGGGAGCTGTAGTTTAGTGATGCACCAGCACTCCTAGGCAGAGAAGACTGAAGAACCTGTCAAACGAAAATTCAGATGAGTCACAACATTGAACCATGCCAGTTAAAGTGGGGACTTCATCTAAATATGAAATTAATGTATATTTCATATGCACTTTGTATGCATAGCCTGAAGATGATCCTATACAATGTATTTTTAATTATTTTTTAATTATTTAATTATTTTAGTCACAGATTGATATTGAAGCACCAGCAGAAAAACTCATTGATAGTTTTTGATTTTGGAGCATTATTTATTGATTTATTGATTTATTTGCAGTATTTATATACCATCCTTCTCAACCCTGAAGGGGACTCAGGGTGGTCCACAGTGTTGGAAACAATTAAATGCCATTGATAAAAAACAGAAAAATTGACCCTTCCCCAATAAAACATTAAACATTATTAAACACATCACATAAGATAACATCATATATCACACAATTTTGGATTCTCACATCAATGATGCTCATCATGTACCTAATTTTGAAGATTTAGGGGATAGAGAGTTTTTGAAAGACAGCAAGCATATTTTTAAATAGCAAATTTTGTGAAGAGCTCCCATTTATTTATTTTATTTCAAATATTTGTACCCCACCCTTCTCTACCCCCGAAGGGGAACTCACATGACACTATCTTCAGGGTGCATCTTTGTCTTATTTCCTTCAGTGTCCTCTCTTACTTTGAAATAGCTGTTCAGAAGAGAAACATGAAATGTGTTTTGCTTAACGATGCTTATTACAGCCCTCCCCAGACTGATGGTCTTTAGTTGTCCTGGATTACAACTTCCATCAACCTTCACCAGGACTGCAAAAAGATGATCAAGCATAATGGGAGATGTCCAAAATCCCTGGACATCTCCCTTCGTGTAGGTTTAGAGAGATGTGATTCTAACTGCCTATCTGGAAATGCCCATAATGTTGCCCCCCCCCCTTTCAGCATGCAGATAATGGGATTTTAAAAGATTTTACTACACAGGACTTTAAACGGATCAAAGGAATTGTAATGCTTTTAAAATTCATTTCCTGAGGTGAAGTAGCACTGTGAATATGTTGTTTGGAAGCAATCCGTTTATTACTGCAATCCCTTTCATCATAACAGTGCAGTGATGAGCATAACTAATATGAATTATTTGCTCTTTGATTTTAAAAGCTTCCATTCCCTTTTCTGTATACATTCTTGCAGTCTTTGTGTATTTGGGTGAAAAGTAATTGAAAAACCAGACAGAGCAGTAAGACTCTGTTTTGTATGGTGTGATGTGAGGATACATCTGCCTAATTAACATTATACATATTGAATTTTGGTTGGATTAGTACGTTATAATCAATTCTTGACTGGTATAGAAGGATCTGACATGAACAGTACTGATGCAACTTGGCCTTTCATTGGTCTATAATGCCTACTTTTTCTGTAAAAATCAATAATGGGAAATGACATATTATATCTGTCAGGATGGGCCTGTTCTCCAGATATGTTTTGGAACCTGTTGTAACAAAAATTTTCTATTTAAAGGGAATGCAGCTACAAGGAGTTGCACAACTTTCAAATTATTTGGAAGTAGTACTGTACTTTGGAAAGTGATAATGAAAAAGGTACAAAGAGATATTAGTACCTCACCAGCATTTCCTGTTACAATTAATGTCTTAATAGTAGTTTGTGAAGTTACAGGCTGGTAGCAATTAATGCATTTTAAGGCCTTTCAAAATATGAGCTCTCCTCCACACAAACATACTATGAGAAAAGATGCATGATTGGGATGGTTTGATTTTAATTGATGTTTTAATAATTCTTATTTTAACTGTTTTGTTTTTAATGGTAATTTTTATTTTATTTTATGGACATATGTATGTATAGCATTGAATTGCTGCCTGTTGTAAGGCTGTCTTGAGTCCCCTTCGGGGTGAGAAGGGCGGGGTACAAATGGGTTAAATAAATAAATAATTATGTCTACATTTACAGTTGTCTCTCTGCATCCATGGGTTCTGCACCCTTGGCTTGAAAATATTCTACAATATTTTCCCCCAAAAGCAAACCTTGGGTTTGCCAATTCATATAATAGGCCATTTTATGTGTTACTGTATATAATGGGACTTGAGCATCCATAGATTTTGGTATCCACAAGAAATTGGGTTATTACCAAACTGGAGGAGATTCCAAGAATTCATTGCATTGCAATGAGGTAACATGAAAGGAAAGCCGTCTTGAAAATGTTAAGTTTATGGACTGATTCTAGAAAATGCATACTGTAAATGTTAAATGATAATTGAGGTATGATTTAGAACTGCTTAGTCGAGCTGCATACTATCTGGTACTTAAGAGTTTGCCGTGCCATGCTTCATATGGGCATTGTGTACAGTTCTGCAGTACGATGGGGGCCGCGTTCAGACCTTTCCTGACGCTTTAGTTCTGTATTTTACAACATTCAGAATCGAAATCATGCATATGAAGCTGCCTAAAGAGTTCTGAACCGATACTCTGGCCTCAGCTATTTCAGCAGATGCAGTTGGATAAATGTGATTATAATTCTGCATGATGGAACAGTCCATCTGCGTTAGAAGTATAGCATTTAATTCATTATTTTCTTACTTTTTCAAGGTGGGTCATAAACAGAAGGTGGAGCTGGTTCCTAACAAAATCCATTTCATGAAGACACTCAGCTTGAAACCACTTCTTTTTGGTAAGAAATAAACACTCAAGGAAATACATATAAGTCCTGGGAATTCCAGTCCTGTTACTAGAGGAAAGACACATAGCAAATATTTAAGCTAGGTTTCTTTTTATTGATTTGTCTTTTGTTTATTTTGATCCTATAAGAATTTTTGCATTAATCATACTAATTATTAACGTGTATTGGCTGTATTCAGGGCTCTTGTACAGCAGTACATCTGGATATTTTTCAGACCCATGATTCAGCTTTGATCTCCATCTGCAATGCAGAACACATTTCCATTTTTGTCTGTATTTCCTTGATTCTAAGAGATACTGTTTTCCCATATAAACAGCTGTAAAAATGGGATGCCTCTTAGAAACACGGGAGTTTTTTAATACATGTAAATAAAACTTTTTTTCTGATGGTGGCAACTGAAATTAGTGTGCGTCTTACAATTGATGGCATCTTAGAATTAAGGAAATATGTTATATGTCCTTCTTTCACCTCTTTTCTCTAGGGTAGACAGGTAGAACTGAGAGCACGTCTCCTTTGCTCCATACAGCTGTGGAAAAGATCAGTTGTTGCCCATTTATATGCTAGTATCAGCACATCATCATGTTGACATTTCCAAGAAAGCCTGTACTCTAAGATCATTCCCTCTGTGTTCGTTATGAGAAGGTTGGAGACAGGGAGAAAAAAGGAATGGAAGACGAACATATGTTTGACCTTCCTTTTGTCCAGTTCAGTCAACTGTAGATAAGTTGTTGTTGTCTGCCTTGAAGACATTTTCAATTTTCTTGGCAATAATTATTTGTTCAGAGGTAGCTTGCCATTATCTTCCTGTGGGGCTGCGAGAGTGTGACTTGCCCTGTGTTACCAGTGGGTTTCTATGACCATGAAGGGGATTCAAATCTTTGTCTCTCAGGACCCTTCTACATTGCCATGTAATCCAGATTATCTGGTTTGAACTGGATTATATGGCAGTGTCGATTTATATAATCTAGTTCAAAGCAAATAATCTGGGTTATCTACTTTGATATGGCAGTGTAGAAGGGGCCTCAGAATCCTATTCCAACATTCGAACCAGCAAGGAACAAAATTACTAAGGCAGATAAAAATTGCTACTTGTTTTGTTGGCAAATAATAATTACTGTTTGTTTGTTTATTTAAAAATTTTATACCCCGCCTTTCCCCAAATAAGAGTCTAAGGCAGTTTACAGCAGATAAAACATGCATAATAAAAGTTTAAAAATTTAAAACCAAATACTAGTAGTTGTTAATGAGTGTGAAACATGAGTCTTAGCACAGATAGGAGTGTCGTATGCCATATAGAGTCAATCTCTTTCCAATAACACGCACATTAGCATTCAAAAGCAGGATTTACAAGACAAATGACAAAGCTTGTCTTCCCTTTCTGTTCCGTCTGTCTGTCTTTTTTCTTCTTCAAGAAATTAAATTAAATTATGAACTATACACAGCTAAGAACATAGTCTTGCTTTGGAATAAAAGTCCTTTTTTTTTCCTAACGCCTCATCAGCAATTATCCCCTTCCCCCAGTTTACACATTCTTTGCATTCATCCTTTTCTCACTACAGATAACTTAATTTGGACCCGAGCTCAGCAGAGCAAAAATCTGTCTTCAAGACTAGGACTTAAGACCAGTAAACAATGTGTTTTCTCCCCCTAAACAATCGACTCTAGATCTTTTAGTCAGTGATAGCAAAAATAAATAAATCATGAAGCGCCTCACAAACTAACAAAATTCAAACAGCATAATCTTCCATGGAGTAGAGTTCTTATCACAGTTGTCAAGGAAAATAGCAGAAAAGAACAGGCAGGAACAGGCATCTAAAATGGCTCTGTCAACTCCCATTCAGTTAGGGAGGTTCCAGGTAAGGCATTTGTCCTGCCTTCTTCTACGTACTTTGCTTTTCACCACTTTATTTATTCTGTTTACAAATAATATGTTAAGGTTGAAATTGGAGACTTGGCAGCTTTGGCTAGCTTAGCAACTGAATTTGTAAGTTCAGTCGGGAAAACATAATTTTCTTCTTGCTATATCTTTAAAGAGCAAAATACTGCAGTTGGTTCTTGCTAGAGGCAGCTTCCTAGGATTAAAATCGTTGTTGCTATAGTGACAATAGCAAACCTAACTGTTGACTCCTGAATATAGATTGAGATTCATTCTATATGTCTATGGCACAATGTTAATTACAAAGCATCTGAATTAAAACAAACCAGTGTCAACCAAAACTTATATTTGAGACTGAATAATTATATTCTTGGCAGAAAATAAAAGAATGAGACCGAAAGTATACACTGATAGTATTTCACTACAGAGCAACTTTGCCAGTGGCAATTAAAACAGCTGGTCCTCTTTTCAGTCCACTGCTAATTTGGACATTTGCAAAGATGACAACCTTACAGAGTAATAGAAACATAGAGCTGGAAGGCGTCTCATGAGCCATTGAGTCTTCTAACCTCTACATCTTTTCAGAAGGTGGTCCACCAAAGAATCTCTCTTGACTCTTCCAATGCTTAGGATGTCTGAAAAATGTTGCTGCCTCAGCAGTTACCATTGCAAGAATAATTTATCCTTTGAAATTTTAAATCAAGGTATTGATTAATCAGGTGTCCTTTTAAGTTCTTACTCCTGACTGCAGAACCTGCCTGCAGTAATTTGTTTTGAGGTTTTCTTAGTCCTACTTAGGTGAATACTTAATGAATACCTAGTCCATATAGAATCATAGAGCAGGAAGAGACCCTAAAGGGCATCCAGTCCAACTCCATTCTGTCAGGATCATACAATGCACTCCCGACATATGGCCATTCAACCTTTGTTTAAAAAACTATAATTGGCATATGACAATGGTTGGATCTTTCCATTTCCAATAAACAATAAGAAACAGTCAAGTGAAGGTAAGTGAGAGACTAGATTGTTTACACATAAACTAACATAAATAAGCTACACAGCCTGACACTTAGTATGGTATTGACTTTACCTGAAAGAATGAATTGTCTGCCTTTGAAACAATAGATGCTTATATATATGGTATTAGTATGTGGCAGTTTTCCTATAGGTACTTTCTATCTATTAGATACTTCAATAAAATCCACAGATGCCAAAAATAAATCTCTGTCACACCCAAACCATCCATTTATGAATCAGATGAGTGCTCTTCTCCTTCACACATTCTGGACTATTTGTCTTTTTCCCATTCTGCCTCTTGGTCTTCATTTTCCCCACTTTTAAACATTATGTGTGCCAACCACCAATCCTACCAAGATACACAAATGTTCTATTGCATGTTTTCTTCCCTTTCTGAAACTAGACTGTAGTTAAAATTGTTTTGTCCGTGGCTTTTACTGGATTTATATTATGGAGAAACAAGCAGCAAATCAACAGACAACAGATATTTCAATATACATATAATATAAAAATTAACAATACTCATTGATTCTTAGCAAGCACAGCCATATGGCATACAGTTTTAAAAAAACATATTTATAATACATATACTGTGACTAGTTAGCAGATTTTCATTCAAGAGGAAAACATAGCAAGAAACTAGACAGCTTTTTTGCAAAATAGTTTTACTATTGGTGTGGACAACTTCCACAGTCATTGCGCTTCACTGGACCTCCTGCAATACAGGTGGAAGCCACACAGCTCTCAAGTGTAGCATTGCTAGGGATGTTGCTGAAATGTATAGGTTTTCTGTAGTGCAGGACAGTGCTAGCATGTTTTCTTACACCATAGAGTAAGACTGCAAAGCAGAACATCTAACTCTGTGAGTGAAGTGTCAGGAAAATGTGAGGATTCCAATAATAGAATTGGAAGAGACCACAAGGGCCATCCAGTCCAATTCCATTAGCCGTGCAGGAACACACAATCAAAACATTCCCAACAGTTGGCCATACAACCTCTGCTTAAAAACCTCCAGAGAAGGAGACTCCACCACCTTCCTGATGTTTATGTGGAATTTCTTTTCCTGGAGGTTAACTCCATTACTCTGTGTCCTAGTCTCCAGAGCAGCAGAAGACAAGCATGTCCCCCTCCTCAATATGGCATCCTTTCAAATATTTAAACATGGCTAACATGTCTTCTCTTGTCCCTTTCTTTTCTCTTAAGCTAAACATACCCAACCCCCTAAGCTTGGCTTCCATGCCTTTGGCCATTTTGGTCACTCTTCTCTGAATATTGTCAGGAGGCTGCTTTGTTGCTCACCATTGTCTTAATGCAACAAGCATTTTTAAGGAACACACACTTCTGTTGTTGGTTTTGAAATACATAGTATTCATAATCTGTGAGTCCTGAAGAGATTTTTCCTCACACAATGTATATGTTTGCGTCAAAGTATAAAAGAATTTGGCTTGTTGTGGAAACAAGGATTGATGAGAAAACCTCAGTTAAGATACCTTTCCACCATGATAATTTTTTCAGGAGTGAATTTCCCTTCCCAGCGGTAGATTTCTCTCACTTCTTGTTGTCTCACTTCTATTCTTAACGAAGAGTTGTTTGTAAGTTGGACATTTGTAACTTGGGGACTGCCTGTATCAAGGTTTCATTTTCTGCTTATGATTGCTGAAGTTTCTATGCAGTGGAATTAACTTTCTACATGTTTCTATAGTCGTATTTGGTCTGCAGACTTAATAATAGTTGCCAATAACATTTCTTCCTGAATGAAGCTTTCCCAATTTTTTTTCTTAGGGATTTTCAAAAATTTTACTTCTAGGGAATGTTTTCTGAAAACATTGTGGACATTTACACATCTCTATATCTGCCAGATAAAACAACCGCACTGTAGAGATTTCTGAGGAGTGTGTTGGAATCACATTCAGGGAATTCTTGGATTTTCATGTTGCTCAGGAGAACATAAAGTATCTCATCACACTGTTAACGTTTGCACTGGTTAGGAAACTTTTCTATTGCTATTTTTCTTTCATTGAGGAACTTCAGATTAGCATCCAAGGAATTTCAGGATTCTTCAGTGTACAGTTTGAAAATTATTTTCTTAGTGCCGTGGTGCCTGCATTCAGTTTTTTTTAACCCTAAGACAATTATACATTATATACAGTTGTGTACACACCTAAGGACTTGGATCCTTTTTTTTTAAAAAAAAAAAACAACCGAAATCCTTCTAGATAAATGTCAGGACATAATTTCTATCATTGAAATGAGATTTTACACCAGGGGCTAAAAGCAGTTCAGACCCGACACTTGTAATGTTTCCACCGCCGCGCAGCAGTCTGTAAATTTCGGTTCTTCTTGTGCCAGGCATAGGCTTTGTGCACCACAATTTTGCCACTCTGCATATCACCACTGATTACATATACCCCCGTGTTTGTGCCTCTCATAATGTTGTGTACACAGGTAGCATCTAGGTCCAACCACTGCTGGAGTTTTGGGTGAGCTTCAGTCTTGAGGAGAGGGCCGTGCTTCAGAACTTCTAGTTTTGAATCAAGGTCAAAGTCAGCAATGGCAGAGGTCTTGTTCCTCCTAGAAATCCTAATCTTCACAGCTAAAACAAAAGCAGACATATCTCTATTAACAAAGCCTGAAAAAGAAGCTCATGTTCGTAACATCTTTTTTATACCAATCCATAACTTTGCTCCTAGCCTTCTGTGTAGCAAATAGTTGTTTTTTAGTAAAATCAGAAATTGCCTAAGGACTGAGAAGGGCGGTATACAAATAGAGTAAATAAATAAATAATAAATTAAGAGAATGGTGGAGGATACCTATGAAAGCACGGTTTTGTTGTTGTATAGCAGCAGTATATCGTTAGTAAACACTGCAGTAAAGCTTACTCAGAGAAAGAATGGGATTCTGCAGTAACCAATCCTACTGTAGTGATGTGCCAGCATTCAACAGGCAGCTGCTTCCAGAATTCTTTTCATAATTCAGTGTTCAAACCACTACACCATACTTTCAAAACAACCTATATACAAAATAGACAGGGAATAGCTTGGGGGGGGGGGGGTCATTTGGAAAATTACTTGGGATCAAAAATGTCAGCCTCCTTCATCCAGCACACACACACAAATATCCACTTATTGCTTGCCACTAAGCAGTTCAGAAAATGTGGATATTTACTCCTTGTTTCCTGATACAAGGAGAGTACCTTGAGCAGGTAGAGAAGTAGGAGCAGTTGTTTACTTACCAAAATCACTGGTGCAAAAGTTTTCCAGAATTTCCTTTGGAGAGCTGGGTTCTTCTAGTTCACAGTCTCTGCAGCTGGCCCGGGGCACTGTTGGAAAATGTACAGAGTTTTAGCTGTTTTTTGAGGCTAACATCTTGTCAAACAGCGCTTTTCTACTGCTGGTGCAACATGAGTCTCTGGCTGTCAGTTCCTAGACATTTCCCAGGAAATGAAGAAAAACCTATTGCTAAAGGGGATAAATACATTCTCTATCCCAGGCACATGGTGGGGAAAGTATAGTGGAATCCCTGCATCTTACTAGGTCAAGAGGCACTAACCTAAGTAAGTTCATAGGGTAGTAATGGTGCCTTTCCCTTGAAGCACAAGAATAAGACAATCAACTTGGTTGAAATTGACTTTATCTTATGCCCTCATGCAAAATGGACTGGTTCACAACCTTTTCCCTCAGAAGCTTCTGAAATCTGCTCCTGGACGTCTTAAACTGTCAGTGTAGTAAACAGGTCCCTATATTTCTATCAAATCCACAAGATAAGGACTCTCATTCATTGGAAGTCTTTAAACAGAGACAGACATAAATATCTCAGGAGAGCTTTAGTGGTGCATTCTTGCATGACAAGGCATTTCCCCGGATGGTCCTTGCAGTCCTTTCCAGCTCTGTGATTCTAGAAGGTTATTTTACATTGAAAGTGGGAGCCAGTATGGCATACTGATTTGAGTATTGAACTTGAACCCCAGGAGACCAAAGTTTGAATCTTCCAAGCCATAGAAGCCCACAGGGAAACCTTCAGGAAGCCACACTCTGTCAATCTCAGAAGATGGCAAAGGCAAACTTCCTCTGAACAAATCTTTTCAAGAAAGTTCTATGACAGCTGGGCCTTAAAGTTGTGGTAAGTCAGAGGTGACAGTTAGGCTCTGAGGGAATTTGGGGTCACCTGGCACTGCAAAAATGCCTCTTCTAAGAAGGTTCCATGGATGAAACTTTTTGACGAAAGAAATGGGAAAGAGAGTCTGGAATTGACTGCAAGCCACTCTTTGTCCACCCCATTTTACCATTCACATACTTCTGCCCTCATTCTAAGTGTGTGTATGTGTAAAGAAGAAGAAGGTGTAATGAGGCAAGTACAGATAGTAAAATCCCATACTTCTCCTGCTTGAGGTGCTTTCATCTGTGATAGAGGCGATGCACAGCTCGTGGTCTTCAGGAAATTTATTGCAATTCAGGATTTCAGGCCAAGGATAGCCATAGCAAGCCATGACCGGAGCGCAACTGCCCCTGACTGCTTCACACAGGCTGCGGCAGGGAGAGATGACCCTAGAGAGAGAAGGAAGACAGGCTCAGATGCAAATCTAAGGGGCATGTGCCTGCTTGTTCACCCACTACTTTGGGGGTGGTTATATGGTGTTATAAATACTGTATTAGTTACAGTATTTCGGTTTCAACTGTGAAGTGCTAATTTTGGAAAGAAAACTGTCCATTTGTTATTTTATGCTAAAATAATGTTTATTCACATAATGATTTTAATAGATGAGATGTGTGGCCTTTTGAACACTGGATTACTACTCTGGAGAACAGGTTTTAAATCTTTGGCTCAGCTATAGAAATTCACTGCTTGACCTTGGTCAAGTCACACCATCTCATCCTCAGAAAAGTCATTGATAGCTTCACCTTAGGATTGCCATAAGTCAGAAATAACTTGAAGTCATATAACAACAACATTTTGCTTCCTTTTCTACAATTTGCTATTAATTTCTTGACCCAGTGAAACATGCTGTCAGTGTCTTTAAACGGTATTGTTTCATTATCTGGGTGGAGGCCACAAAGGGGCGCTAGACAGAGAAAGATAGTCCAATTTGGGGACAGGAATTGAACGAGTAAAACTATTTCCCCGTTTTCCTGTTATTCCCCCCACCCATGTCAACGTTGTTTATAACATGGGAAGTGGGGGAGGGTATTATTGTTTTAATGTTTATTGTTATTGCTTTAATGTTTATTGTTTTGCTTTATGAGTTTTATTGTTGTATTTGTTATGCTGTTGTTTTATTGAGGGCCTTGGCCTTTTGTAAGCTGCACCGAGTCCTTCAGGAGATGTTAGGGGGTATAAATAAAGTTAATAAATAAATAAATAACCAGCAAAAACAGGGGAAATGGTTTTCCTCCTTCAACTCCCCCCCCCCCCCCCCCCCCCCCCCCCCCAATAAAATTGAATATCTTTCTCTATGTGAAATGGAGTATCTTTCTCTTGTGGCCTCCGCCTGGATAATGGGACAGTACCCTTTAATTATAATTGCATCAAAATGCCCATAATTAATGTGAGTTTTGTGTAGAGATAAACAGTTGTATGTACACCCCATAGGATCCCCTCAGAGATAACAAGCTGGAACCTGTCCAGCAAAGAGCAACCAAAATTCTCAAAGTTCTTCCTAATGTTTATGTGGAATCTCTTTACCAACAATTTGAATATATTGCCAAGTATCTTACTATTTCATCACACTAGAGAATGAATCCGCTTTAAATCCGGTTGCTGCCTCCTGCAGAATTCTGGGGTTTGTCATTTAGGGAGGAGTCTTTAACAGCCTCACTAAACTATAAACCCCAGAATTCTGCTGGAGGCAGAAACTGGGTTTTAAGTGGATTTATTCTAGAGTGATGAAGTAGTTAGCCTCTAGATCAGCAGAAAACAATCTGCCCCCCTCCTCAATGTGACATCCTTTCAAATACTTAAACATGGCTGCCATGTCCCCTGTCCAGCTTCTTTTCTCCAAGCTAAACAAACCCAGCTCCCTAAGCCATTCCTTATAGGGCTTGGTTTCCAGACCTTTGAACATTTTGGTTGCCCTTCTCTGAACATGTTCCAACTTCTCCATATCCTTCTTAAATTGTGACACCTAGAACTGGACACAATCTTCCAAGTGAGGTCTGACCAAAGCAATATAAAGAGGGACTATGACTTCCCTCAGTCTCAAGCTATTGTTGCAGCCTAGAATCGCATTGGCTTTTTTTAGCTGCTGCATTACACTGCTGACTCATATTCAACTTGTGGTCTCCTACAACGCCTAGATCACTTCACCTGAAACCACCTGTGTGTAAGCCAGGTGATCTGCTGCTGGGTGATGGTGCATATTTCAAGACAGATTTTTAAAACTACAGCTTCCCTTTAACAACCGTTCCATAAACAAATGAGCTTTTATCTAGTGAACATAGCGAGGAATTACAAAGATGGAACTCATGAAAATATAGGAAGCTGTCTTTATGCCATTGGTACATCCAGTTCAGTATTGTTTAAACGGACTGGCAGCAGCTTAACAGGATTGTAGACAGAAATGTTAGCCAACATTTTAAAGATACCAGTAATTAAACCTACACATTCTGTTTGCAAAGCATAATCTCTGTCATAGAGCTGCAGCCCTTCTGTGAGCTTCCTTTGTCTGCATTGAGCCTTCAGATCTATTTTTTTCATTTTCTAAATAGTGTGTTGTTATGATCCTGTTTGTAATAATTATCTTTGTCTCATATTTATTAAATCTAACTTGAGTTAATTAACTGCATCTCCTTTGCTTTGAGAGAAATTGAACCATTTGTGCAAGTAAAGGACATTTTCCTTAGAGATGGAAAAGGCATAAGAAAGGGCAAACAAAATGATCTACTGGCTGCAACATTTGGGATTTTCCATCTTACTTCTGAAATATAGCCCACAGTACCAACTATTCCTAGCTATATTTTAGAAGAAAGAACTGGCAAAATGACCTCTAGGTATTCCTTGCCTAACAAAACCCTGTGAAATGCACAGGGTCACTACAACTTGAAGACACCCAGAGAGAGAGCTTGGGGATTGGGGAGTAGTGAGATGATAGCCAGTCTTTCATAAAACTACTACTGAGGAACAACTGATTATTGATGCTTAATGGTAGTAAATAAAACAGATAAAATATAAAAGATAAAAAGTGAATACTTCACATACTGTTGATTTTGTTTCTACAGAATGTAATAACAACCAGCAATTCTAGGTGGATTTCAAAGTATATGAAATCCATATTGGGTAAAGGTATTGATGGCTGCTGTTCATTGAAACGGTATATTATTTTAGTATCAAGGACAACATGTCTCTCAGTATCAGGAGAACATGAGTGACAGGAACTATTATTTGTCTGGTAAAATATTTCTACTCATCCAGTATGAAAAAGCTCTTGGGGCGTCTTACGTATAACATTAAAAGAACAGGCTAAGCTATTTAAATATTGAGAGTAATTTAAAGAAGCTAAAAATATATTGAATATATTCATGTCCTGCATATGGCTTCCCTAGGCAATTGAGCAAAGGGGATAGTTAACTTGATGCAGTACAACTCCTCTTATGTGTTGAAAGAGGGTTCCTGGAATACGTCATAAAATCATTGAAATCTTAATATAAATTGTGGAACCATATGGCAGCAGCAGTTAAATCATCAGCTTGTCTGTTATATCTATAGAGACAGATACATAATGAGGCAACCAAGAATTTCACTTAAAAATACTTGTTTCTTTATATGTGTCCTTATTATGCTTGTGCCAATTAATACAAACATGGGGAAGAACTCAAGGTTGGCTTTACATTTTCATAGGAGACTTTCAATCCAAAGATTATTTAAGTTTCCAGGTATGAAAAAAGCCACAATGTGTATTGCTAGGAAAATAAGCCAGAACCACATCTGTCACATTGTAGAGGGTTTTTTTTTTTTTGGGGGGGGGGGGGGGGGGGTGGAGGTTAAGTAAGGCTTCCCCAATTGCCTCTCTCCAAAAAGATTGGAGTTATAGTTCCCGTCACCTTTGCTGGTTGAGGTTGACCAGAGGCATGCTCCAGACCATTTTGCGTGTTTAGGATTTGAAAAGGTTGAAGCTGGAGAAAGAGCAAGGCAGAACTTTCATGCAAATAAATCAAATGTAGCAATGGGATTGGAGATGAAGAGGCATGCAGCAAACAAAAGTGGAACACACCAAACAATACAGCCAATTGAAGAAAGTGTCATTTACCTGTCCAGGCAAATTGGGGCAAAGAGGGAGCAGAGGAAGATCCTGGCGTCCGGATGGCACTCTCTGGCTAGTAAGGGTAGCCAGCTGCTGGACTGCTGGATTGCTTCAGTCATGGTCTCATGGTCCAGCAGGTTAGGGAGTCTCATCTCTGTGTACCCAATGTCATAACACAAAGCCATGTTCCTTGGAATGGAAGTGCATCTGGAAGCACTTCTGCGGTAGCTTCCAAAAACTCCCACAAAGTCCCAAATTAGCAGATATCCCAACAGTGCTAGAAGCTGCTGCTGTGTGCATGGCATGGTGGGATGTCTCCAATAAGACAGATTTCCCAGATTTTCAGCAAAACCCTTCTCCAGAATAAATCCTGCCTTTCCAAAGGCGATCTAAACTGAGAAAGTCCTTGTGGGATGTGTTTATTATAGCAGAGAGGCCACCTGTGTATGAGTGCATCTTTATTAGGCTCACTGTTTGTTTGTTTTTTTCTTGGCCAGTAGCCCCCAACTGTTTGGAGTTTGACTAGCAGGTATTGAAAGGAGGGCAATCAAATCAGCTTGAATGGTCCTCCCCACTCCACTATCTTGGATTTTGGATTGAATCATTGTTTGAGGACTGTTTGGGCCCACCTCCCCTTTCCCCCTGAAGGATTAGTTCTTATTTTATAAACAACACTGTTTCCCTCTCCTTTGTGTTTTTGGAGCAAAGCAATCACAAAGTTAATTAGGAGACATTTGTTTAGCTCCAGCCATTGTTAAAGAGGCAATGGGGTGTGTCAGCCCAGGATTGAGAGTGCTAACTCTTTGGGAAGATTCCCTGAATCTGGGAAGGGCTCCGTGCAGGTCACTGTTGACATGCTGGATGGAGTTTGGCAACAAGTTTCTCTCTTGTAACCACACCACAGGAAATTAATTGCTGATAGTCATCTACATCTCATTTGGGCATTAACTGGGGTCCTGTGATACGAGTGGATCGCACTATTCTCAGATAATTGTCAAAAACGTTTATTGTCACCTCACTGCCGTTTTTAAATGTAGACCATATCAAATCAGTGGGGGGCATTGCTCCTTGGGTTGGTTCCTTGTTAATTTGTTTTGTGCTGTTGACTAATAGGTGGGGGTAGCTGAGGAAAAAAGTCTCCTAAGGGGATTATGGGCTCCTCATAACAGAATACATTCTCGGTCAGGGGTTTCATAGCCATTGTGTTGTCTTCTTTTCTGTTTCCTGTGACTCAAGAAACAGTTTCTTGGTGTTCTTGCTCTTTAGCAATTAAAACCTGAGTTAAAGCCAACATTTGAGTGTATCACCATATATATAAATAATTAGTTATTTCTGGCATGTTTACAAGGAACTTTAGATGCTCTGGATAAACATTTTTATCAGGATGTACAAGGACTTACCTTTGCATTTCATTCTCCAGGTGCAGACTTGCTAAGTTATAAAGTGCAGGATTTAAGTCATAATATAAACCCCTGAGCAGTCCACTAGTAGTGAATGTTGCTATCTCCAAGCTCCAGCTGTTGTTCTGTCATATGGAAATAAAATTAGAAAGAAAGAAAGAAAGAAAGAAAGAAAGAAAGAAAGAAAGAACAAGGTAACAAGTAGGAAAGCATCTGAGCTCAATTTTGATGGTAATTTTCAGTCTCCTTCCTGGGCAACTTCCCGAACAGTTTATGCTGATAGAGAGAAAGGGAGATCTGCCACCATCCTGGTGGGAATCTCAATGTGTGCAATGTATGTTTAGCTTGAGAAGAGAAAACACAAACAGATAATTTTCGTGAAAGATGGAAAAGGTGCAGGAAAAGGCTAGCAAAATGAATCAGGGGCTGAAACAATTTCATTGTGAGGAAATGATGCAGCATTTGGGGCTGACCTGCTTTATGGTCAGCTCTAGTTATCACTTGGATGGGATAATCATATCATACCAGGTGCTGCAAAATATATTTCAGAGGAAGGAACTGGCAAAACCATATCTGACTATTGTTTACCTAAGACAACCCTCTGAAATTCATGGGGTTGCCATTAGTCAGCAGGGGTACATACAATTCCAAAAGTGTGGAAATGTCAAGCACTCTTCTAGCATATTAAGGTATAAGGTCCACATAGTCACAATGCCCAAATACCACCCACACATAGAGGGAGTGAATGAATCCATATCTATGGTGGCAAGCTCTAAGATCATTGTGCATTTTCACAACGCCCAGAAAACAAAAGAACACAGTTGCAGCCACAATTATTCTATGTTTCTCATGCCTTAGTTAACAAGTGCTGTCAGTCCTGAGGCATATCTCGAGACAGATGTTCAAATCCCCCCATGCCAATCACAGTTATGCGTTGGAAGCAGCATGCAAAGTGAGTAAGAATAAGAGTCCACACATATATTCCTTGCCAGAAAGTGTACAAAGGACACACATCTCGAGTGACTAAGGAAGCAAGAAACAGATGTTCCATTCCTCCAGAGGGAATATGTCCCTACTTACCTCATATCAGCCAGGCCATCAACAGTTCTTTCAGGGAACCGATGATGATGATGATGATGATGATGATGATGACATTCTATGCCACCAATTTGGAATTCAATGTGGCTTATAACAAATTCTAGAATTCATAAAATACAACAGTTAAAAGGAGTAATAGTCAAAAAGATTAAAAACCAGATTAAGGCATACATCATTAAACACACACACATATATGTGCACCAGCAGAATAATCAGAAGATGCAGTGCATTCATTGAGCAAGACAAGTCTGTCAAAATAGAAATGTTTTTACTTGTTTCCAAGTGGGAAAGTAAGTACAGTAGCATGCCAGTCTTAACTTTTCTGAGAAGGGAATTCCAGATCCTAGTGGGCAACTACTGAAAAGGCCCTTTCTTGTGCTCACACCAGATACATCTGTGAAGGGACAAAGATAAGGGCCTCCCCAGCAGATCTCAAAGTATGGTTTGTAAGGGAGGATGCACTCCTTCAGATAACCTGGACCAGAGGGATGTAGGGCTTTGAATTGTGATCGGCAATAGACCTGTTGCTACAAGGAAGTTGTGTATTGTGTGAGAAAGGGGACTCCAGGGACTCAAACTCCTGCTGCAAATGCTCTCACATTGTTGCCTTAAGGCACAGCAGCAGATATATATCAATAATGTTAAGGGGATTTAAACTTTTTTTCCATGCCTCAGCATCAAGATCCAGTCATTGATACAAACAGGTTATAGCCATGAAGGGAATTGCCACCCAAATAATAATTCTGATTCCTCTCTCCCTTCCGTGAATTTTTAGACATGCAGTAACTTAAAACTTAAGTTGAACATAATAGAAATACAGTTAAACATCCAAAGAAAAAGAGTAAAGGAATATAAATATAAAAAAATGAGGTGTGGACAATGTTTAATGTCTAATTATCTGAAAAGCTAATAATTTGGAGGGTGACAGAAAAAAAATGTGGTAGGGGTAGATTTTTTTTTAAAGGGAATGACCTTATTTCTGCTGGCCAGTAAATACACTCCTGGATGCCAAGCTTTTGTTTCCCTTGCATGAGATACCAAGATAAAACCAACTAGGAAAATAATTTAAGATCACATCTGTCATGTTCTGGATGTTTTGTCTCTTTGTTCAGGCTTCTTCACTTAGGATATAAAGGAGTTGTTTGTTGAATTTAGGAAGAGAAATTGGGAAAGAAGAGACAAAGGGCTAAATGCTTAGCCTAAATACCAATTCCTGAGCTGAGCAGCAAAAACAAATATGTTCCTTGGTATTTACCTTTTGATAGTAACATTTATTTTTTCCCTCTCTCTTCCTCTCTCTTGGATAGAAATTCCAGACTTCCTGAGTGAAGATGAATGTAAATTAATTATCCACTTGGCTCAACTGAAAGGACTACAGAAAAGCCAGATTTTGCCTACAGATGACTATGAAGAAGCTATGGAAATGATAGATATCAGCCAGATGGATATTTTTAATCTACTAGATCACAATCAAGATGGACAACTGCAGCTGAAGGAGGTATATCGGGATGGGCTGTTGGTCATTCTTTCAGAGATATGAGGCTTGTTAATATGGAGCCATAACCATTTAATGCTGTAAGAATTGCAACGACAAGAATCAGAAAAATACACATCATGTTTGAAACAATGGCTTCTTTTTTGTTATGGAACAAAACTCGGGTTTCTTTTAATTGTAGATTATTAAACAAGCCAGTTTCAGACTGCTTTAACCCATAATTCCTAGATTAGACATAAAGACTTGGAAATAACCAGAGGCTCCTTTTCTCTCTCCTTTTTAAAAAAAAAGTAAAATTTACAATGCTGCAGAGGGAGGGTGCCTTTTTTCAGACCAAACCCATGGGAGCCAGTAGAATCAGATTTTTGGATGCTGCATACTCCCATAATTGTTTATTCATTTATTTGCAAAACCGGGGGAATGGGTGTCTTTAAGAGACCACATGAAGTTGACAGGCAGCATTCCTCTCCTGCCTAAAGAAAAAGGGGAAGTTGATGCAGTTGATACTTGTTAGTTCTTATAGTGCTGAAATATGGTTAGTGTTTCGTCCAAATGAGACCACACTGAGCATCTCTGAATTTGGCACATGTTAAGGGCGCAAGTTAAAGTGCCCTTAACTTGTACAGAATCAGCTTTGCACAACTCTGTATTTATCATCACCATCAAGACTCAAGGCAGTGTACAACATAGTTAAAATACATACATAAAACATAATTTATATGTTATTTAAAGACATCACCTAATATTAAAGCACATTAAAATAATTCATGCCAGTAAAATGTAAATTTTAATTCATAGTTTAAAATAGACTGGGTAGAACTTTAGGCAATACCTTTGAGGTCAGCTCTCCACAAAGGATAGAGGCCCAGAAGAGAAATGTTTTCTGTCCAAAAGAACTGACCTAATTTAATGTCCCTGAGGCTCTTAGTCACATGTTGAAGCAGCACTTGTTTGTACCTTTCGTGCTTCATTGAGGAGAGACAACTGATAGTGTTGGTTAGTTCAGTTTCAGATCTGTATGTCCCACCAGTTAGATAAGACTCTTATTGCGTTCTCTGGTCACACAAAGCAGTAGTAGACAATGTTCAACTCAGGCGTTGCTTCTCCTTTCTGCCACTTTTTTGGCCCTTGACCACTCCTGACTCCCCAGAAAACCCTTTTTCTGTTAAAAATAATGAATTGCCTGTCTTGAAAACTTTCAGAAGTTGCAGTTCAACTTTAAGTTTTGTTGCAGGGGTCTCTATGCTGTTTAACTATATATCACTGTTTGAATATAAGAACCACATTCTGCTGCAAGAGGTATTTCAAGGTGGCTTAAAAGTTAGCTCTTTGGTAGGTCCAAAGATTGGAGATAGCTGTTACTATTGGAAGTTTGATTCCAAAAACATCAGGAAGTCTGCATAACACCAGTTCTAATCAGTGGTTTTCTAGAAGCGGATCCTTTTTTTAAAATTTCAGGTGTTGACGCACACCCGTCTAGGAAACGGCCGGTGGATGACGCCTGAGAGCATCCGGGAGATGTATACTGCTGTGAAAGCAGACCCAGATGGCAATGGTGAGCTAGAGAAAATGCTGCCTTCTCATACTGTTTACTCTTGCTCCTGCCCCAAGCAGATTTAGGCCTTTTGTAATCCAACAAATGGAAAGCTTCCAGAATTAGTAAAGCATGGGAAAAACTTGGTAGGTCAGCGATGATGTGTCTGAAGACTTTGGCTTCAGTAGTAAAGGACTGTCTGAAGGTGTAGCCTGCTCTGCATCCTTTAACATTGGCTCGAAATTTGTTGAATGCTTGGGGATGTAGTAATATTTAATACCTGAATTGTTTGACCATTATTTTGAAAATGATCTTAACTTGGGTCCTGTATTGCTCTGCTACGACCGTTATTATTCGATGGGCAGTTGGATAACCTCAGTTTTATGCTAGAGGCTACATGGCATCCAGATGGCTTCAACCCCCCCGCTGGCCTCCTGAGGGCTCCTGCTGGCCCGGATGCACACTGTGACCTCTCTTCTTCTAATTAGAATGCATTCAGTTGAACGCCTCTCCATTTCCTAATCAAATTAGGCAAACTGGCAAAGTGTGTACTCATCCTGCCAGCTTGCCTGGTGATCTGCACAGCCGTTGGAGAGCTTACGCTGGAGTGGGAAACAACACTGTGGTGAATGGAGGGCGAGGCTCCAAATCCGGTGGGCAACCCCATGCCCTGGTGCCCTTCTAGCTGATGACGTCTTTGGCAGAGGCTGGGGAGGATGCACTGTCCGTGGTGTTTCCAGCACTGTAAACATCAGCAAACAAAAAGACTTCAATTAAGTTTTCAGTGCTGTGTTTGGGGTGTCCAGGTGGGCTCCCTTCCCAAGTCCTGCTTTCATTGTTAGTGGTGTGGCAGCAAGAAAGCCAAGACTCATATCCTGGATATAGTGATAGATTATGGGGGGTCTGAAGCTGATGAAGGAATAGAAGATGTGAGTGTGTGCTGGAAATAAGTGACAGTCACGACTGTCCTAAGTTGCCCTCTCTTCAGAGGGCCATTGTTTTCTTTTCACTTCATAATTAACTGTGACTAGTGCTGCTGTTCTCCTGCTGTTTCCTGTGTGCAAAGCCTTTTTGTCAACATCTAGTATATAGGATAGCACTTGTTTGTTTTTAAAACCAGGTTTTAGCTCTCTTGTAGGCTGAGCTGTGATTAGAAAATATGCAATTGTCACCTGGACTTAAGTGTTCATAGACACTTCAACTATGACCTTTAACTGTTCCAAACCTTTTAGTCTGGCATGGGGAATCATTGGCCTTCCAAATGTTGTTGGGCTGCTGTTCCCATCATTACTAGCAGTAACCTGTTCTGACTAGTAGTGAGGGGATTTGGGGTCCAACAATGTCTAGAGAACTGTAAGTTGCTCGCAGCAATCTCCAAGCCTCCAATTGGGAGGGATAGCCAATATCCTAGAACACAGAAACAGAATTCAAAACGATCTAAATAGATTAGAGAGATGGGCTAAAACTAACAAAATGAAGTTCAGCAGGGAGAAATGCAAGATACTCCACTTAGGAAGAAAAAATGTTCCATTACCTGGGCAGACTCCTAGGACCTCATCACACTAGAAAATGAATCCATTTTAAATCTGGTTGCTGCCTCCTGCAGAATTCTGTGGTTTGTGGTTTAAGAAGGAACCTTTAACAGCCTCACTAAACTACAAACCTCATAATTCTGCAGGAGGCAGAAACTGGATTTAAAGTGGATTCATTCTCTAGTGTGATGAAGTAGCTAGACAGAGAAAGATAGTCCATTTTATGGGGGTGGGGGTTGAAGGAGAACAATTTCCCCCATTTTTGATGGCTATTCTCTCCCCCAACTTCTCATGTCATGAGCAGTGGTTGTTTCGACAACAGTGACATGGGTGGGGGGAATAACAAGAAAAGAGGGAAACTCCTTCAAGCCCTCTCCCCCCATAAAATGAACTATCCTTCTCTGTCTAGGCCCCCTTTCGGCCTCCACCTTGATAATGAAACACTACTCTAAATTATTTATATATTCTACAGATACTTTTTCATGACGGTTCTTTCACAAATTATTTAAGATAGTTGGGTTTTTGGGGGTTTTTTTGCATGTTAAGGACATACCAAAGTTTCTACCAAAATCTTGCACCACATTCAAAATATCTTGTAACATCTGTTACTACAATTAAAAAAAAACCAATTTGCTTTGGGCAACAAAGAAGGCATAATGTAAGGTTACACATTTGTAACTGTTTCATGTTGCTTTCTTTTTAGGTAGAAAAAGCATGGCTTGCCCAGGAAGGTAACCCAGTGTGATTGCATGGCCAAGTGACTCCTCAAATACTCGTCTCCCAGAGTCCTAATCCAGGATTCAAACCACTATACTAGCTGGCTCTAGAAGGATATCCCCCCTTTACCTTTTGACTTCTATTCCTTTGATTTCTTAACATTTTTACAGGATACAAATTATTTTTTGTTGTTGGCAGGAAAAAAGCCAATTTGTCCCCAGGCCCTTCCTTGAAACTACAGAATACCTACTAAAGCCTGTGAAAGTACTACATGTGTATCAGATCTCAAATTAGCATATTTATCTCCAAAACGGCAAACTAGATACAAAAATCACTACTTGAGGATTGGCTAGTTCAGCTCCATTTTGCTGCCTAAAATGAAGCTGTCCATAGCCTTTTCTTTTTATTTCCATCTTGTCAGGTGTGCTGAGTTTGGAAGAGTTTAAGCAGCTGAACATCCGGGACTTCCATAAGTATATGGGAAGCCAAAAAGTGAAGATGAGTGACCTGGTCCGGAATAGCCAACACACGTGGCTCTATCAAGGCGAGGGGGCGCACCAAGTCATGCGCTCCATAAGGCAAAGGTAATTAAAAATGCTGCCACAGCGCTACCTAACTGAAGTACTGGCAACAGGGAGATCATTTGTTAGAGATGTAAAATGATGCTGTTCCGTTTTGTTATCTTCTATAAGCTGCTCAATTTATCTAAATAGTATTATCTTATAAATAATTTGTTGTTGGGATTTGTTATTGTTGTTTTGAAAGTATTGGAAGAAAATAGTTACTGATAAGTTTGTCATGACTTACACTATTGCTAAGTGTATTTGTTTTTCTTAGGAATCCTTTTAAATGGAATTCCTCATTTCTTGCCCACTAATATATACAGGGTAGTGCAAGCAAAGTCTGAAATGTAAGTTGTAAAATGAGAGTATTTTAGATGCATTGTAGCATGTCTTTGTTACAAAAGGGGATCTAGTCAGAATTGTGAGCAGAGGTTTCTAACCTTTCATGCACTGAAATGCCAAGAAAAATCCTCTTCTGTCCCAAAGAGGAATCCTTGAAGGTTTGCACAGAATCCTCTTCTGTGCAAAGCTTCTGTTTTTGTCAAGAGGGAAATTACAGTTGGCAGAAATAGGACCCTCTTTTTGTAGAATGGATAGCACAGTCCCAAGCTTTGTTATTCCTGTTCAACATCTTTATTAATGACTTAGATGAAGGGTTAGGTGGCATGATCATCAAGTTTGCAGATGACACCAAATTGGGAAGGAGCCAATACTCCAGAAGACAGGAGAAGAATTCAAAACGATCTAAACAGATTAGAGAGATGGGCTAAAACTAACAAATTGAAATTCAACAGAGACAAATGCAAGATACTCCACTTAGGAAGAAACAATGAAATGCAAAGATACAGAATGGGGGATGCCTGGCTCGAGAGCAATACATGTGAAAAAGATCTTGGAGTCCTCGTGGACAGGAAGGTGAACATGAGCCAAACAATGTCATGCGGCAAAAGAAGCCAGTGATATTTTCGCCTCCTTAAATAGGAGTATAGTGTCTAGATCCAGGGAAGTCATGCTACCCTTCTATTCTGCCTTGGTCAAACCACATCTGGAATACTGTGTCCAGTTCTGGGCAATTTAAGGGACATGTTGACAAGCTGGAAGGTGTCCAGAGGTCAAGGGTCTGGAAAACAAACTCTGTGAGGGGCGGCTTAAAGAGCTGGGCATGTTTAGCCTGCAGAAGAGAACGCTAAGAGGAGATATGATGAGGGTCATGTATAAATATGTAAAGGGAAGTCATAGGGAAGAGGGAGCAAGCTTGTTTTCTGCTGCCCTGGAGAATAGGGCACGGAACAGTGGCTTCAAATTACAGGAAAGGAGATTCCACCTGAACATTAGGACTTCTGAACTGTGAGAGCTGTTCATCAGTGGAACCCTTTGCTGTGGACTGTGGTGGAGGCTCCTTCTTTGGAGGCTTTTAAGCAGAGGCTTGATCCATGTGGTTTAATAGATTTACTTCTCTTTCTTCAGGGTGATTCATTTGACCCGTCTGCCCCCAGAGATCGTGGAGCACAGTGAGCCCCTGCAAGTGGTACGATATGACCAGGGAGGGCACTACCACGCTCACATGGACAGCGGGCCAGTGTTCCCTGAGACCGCCTGCACGCACACCAAACTGGTGGCCAACGAAACTGCTCCATTTGAGACTTCATGCCGGTGAGTCGAGAACCTGACAGAAAAAGGAAAATTTCCACTGTTTTCTTCTTCTTTTTCTCAATACTCCATGCTAGATAGAAATCCAGTAATATTTCAGAGGAGTATTAAAACATTAGAGTCCTAATCTCACATTTGTGTGATAGTTAGAGGACTTGGTAAGCTGGCTTCTTTGGCTGATAATAGGATTCTTGTGTTTCTGTGATAAATGAAAAGATAAATAGTCCCTTCCTCATTTACGCCCATTATTAAATCCTTACTTCATGGTGGAGATGATGATGATGATGATGATGATGGGGGTGATGATTATGGCGTTTGGTGAGAACAAGGGAGAGAGCCTTTCCAGTGGCTGCTCCCAGACACTGGAACTTCCTCCCAAGTGAAGACCTTTCTATGCCAGCAGGTCTTTTTGGGAGGATGAGTGGCACTCTTGGTGAAGCTGTGGGTTGGATTTTGTGTTGATTGGGAGTATTTAACATAATTTTCATTGTATTTATTATAGCTTAATTGTATTTTAACTTATATCCATTACACAAATATCTAAGTGTTTATGTTGTTTTTCATTTTTATATGTGCCGTTTTTAAATTTATTGGGTTGTGTCATGTAATTGTGACCTGCCTTTAGTCCCCATGGGGAGAAAGGCGAGGTAGAAATTAAATAAATAAATAAATAAAATAATTATTATATTTGTTAGCTGTCTCTCCTCAGGGTTTTAAGTGGAGTACACCATGGTTAAAAGACATTGCTATGAAAGTGTGGCTGGTGGGATTGGATGTTTTAGAATAGCTTTCCACAGCCTGCTGCCAACTTAGAATCATAGAATCATAGAGTTGGAAGAGACTTCATGGGCCATCCAGTCCAATCCCCTGCCAAGAAGCAGGAAAATCGCATTCAAAGCACTCCTGACAGATGGCCATCCAACCTTTGCTTAAAAGCCTCCAAAGGAGAAGCCTCCACCACACTCTGGAGCAGAGAGTTCCACTGCTGAACAGCTCTCACAGTCAGGAAGTTCTTTCTAATGTTTAACTGAAATCTCAGTTCCTGTAGTTTGAAGCCATTATTCCCTGTCCTAGTCTCTAGGGCAGCAGAAAACAAGCTTGCTCCCACCTCCCTATGACTTCCCATGATAACATTCCCCTCTGCCCATGCTGGATGGGGTAGGAAGGAGTTGACTCCCATGAATATTTGAAGAGTACTACAGCTATTCTAGATATCTCCAGAAATTTCTGTCTTCCTAGTGAGCTCTGGGCAGAAAATGAGACTACACATTGAACAGGTACATCAAGAAAGACTTGCAAAGCCCAAATCAAGGAAAGTGTTATGTATTTTAGTGCCTTTGAGGCTAACCTATAGCAAACCTTCTGTGTTTCACAGCTATGTGACAATCCTGTTCTACCTGAATAACGTGACAGGAGGGGGAGAAACCACTTTTCCTATTGCAGACAATAGGACCTATGAAGAGATGGTATGGATTTTCTCTTCTCAGTTTTCTGTAAACAGAAAAAAATATCCTTATGGTTTTATCTGTTGGAAATAGCAACCTTCTCAAGCCTCCACTGGTTGTTTGTTGTGTATATAATTCAGATTGCTTACTATATTGTATATGTGTGTGTGTTGGTATGCAATTTGACCTTAACTCTTTGTTGTGGAAGGGGCTGCAAACCATGTGATCATGTCTGGGCTTGTTCTGGACTCAGACTCCATTTTAGTCTATGGTTTAGACTTCAGTAGGAACAGGTGTCTGCCTTTAGAAGACTGCAGGAATAGTCCAGTTTAGACTTCAGTAAGATGTATGCTTAGAGACTAGACAGAGACTATTAGACTCTCAGAACAGAGAGATGCTTTGGGCTATGGAGTATTGATTCTAAGAATGATACCCTGTGTTACCTACACAGAGAAACTACTTCAAATCTAATTGTAACTGGATTTATAGGCAAAGTACCTGTATGGTGAGTACATGAAGTTTGTGAGTAAACCAGCTATGTTACTTTTAAAGAAGTCTGCTTATTTTTTTTCTCTTGAGAGCATGATTTAAGGGCAAATATATTTTAAGGGAGAGTAAATGGTTTTGGGCAATTAAAAGGAACACTTCTGAATATATATATGTGCATTGGCATATCTTTGTCCCTAACATTTCAAAGACATACCTAGGTACATCAGTTTAACAGCTGAGAAACATAGTTGCCTTGCCTAAATGCTAATGAATGCTATTTTCTCCAAAAGGTTATGACTCTTATCGGGTCATAAGAGGTTTTTCAAAAAAGGTTATGACATCTAACAAGGTCATTCCTTTCCAAAGATCATAAAATCTCCAAAAAGGTTCTGGAGATTTCCATTTTCCAAAAGGTCATGTGACCAGTGGTTTTCCAAAAGTATTTAATGTTAAATAGATGAAAATTTGGTGGGTGAACAGCACCAAATTTGAAAGGGGCTGCAACAATAGAGTGCAAAATCTAAAAGAAACAGCACTGTCAGCCAGTTTAAACAAATCTTGGGTTGCTGTGTGTATAACTACACAGTTGCAAGGCATTAAGTTGCACTGGATACAATGGGGCATAATATCTGAATAAGTACACATAGGATTGCACTATCCATCAATCAATGGAATTTATTTGTGGAAATTAAAATCGATGTGAAGTAGTGAGTACATTTTTAAAATGCAAAACAAATCTTTGCATTGCAGTGTCCATGTCTTCTTTGAATATCTGAAAGGCAATTCTCCACCTTTTAAAAACACTGAATGTAATTAAAAGCTATGTATTCTGCTGCTCTATCTTAAGGGTCAATATGAGTAAGCAATGCTTTACCAGTCTGTAAAACTTTTGACATTATGCATTTTTAATTTTTTTATACTCCATATGCTTTTTCTTATCAGATTTGAAATTTACAAATTTGAGGTCTGACATATTGATACATTAGAGCAGACTTGAAATGCAGAGCACTTCATCTGGATATTTGGTTGTGTTTCTTAAACCATTCCACCCTATTTCTGTTCGCTATTATTTAATGGCATGAGTCCTATTGTTGATCCCAACTATCATAGAGCCATTGGAACCATTGGATTTGCCTACATCTCAGCTTGCCATTCAACAACTGATTGCGAGAGTGTGTTCTTGCTGGAACTAGCTATAGAATTCCATCCAATATCGTCCAATATATTTCCCAGTAAGGGAACTGTTTTATTCTGAGATCTATGTTAAGGAGAATACAGCTCAGAAAGCATTTCCATCTTTTTTCCTCCCCTTCAGTCTCTGATCCAGAATGATGTTGATCTTCGTGACACTCGCAAACACTGTGATAAGGGGAACCTACGTGTAAAACCATTGCAAGGCACTGCTGTCTTCTGGTACAATTACCTGTCAGATGGGGAAGGTAAGGTGTGCTCTTCTTGAAACCACTTCTTTACATGAAGGTTTCTCCTCCTGACTTCTGATGAAGCTGGCTAACTGAGGCACCATTTACATTGCCATATAATGCAGTTTGGAACTATATCATATGGCCAGTGTAGACTAATATATTCCATTTTAATGCATATATTGCTTTATATGAATCTGTACTGACCACATAATGCAGTTGTTGGAATTCAACCACATTCCACACAAAGTTTATACTCCTCATCAAGGAAATGGATGGCAGGGAAGCCCTCCCCCCATTGCCCTCTTTGTCTGCCCCTTTTTTCTGCTTGTTAGATTTCTCAGAGACATGCCTCTTTTAATCCAAAGTTTCCAGTCTGCATGGCAGGCCCCTGGGTCCTCCATTTTGTTTTTCTTCTGTGGGCATGAAGAGAGAAGCTGTCTCCAGAGCACTAGACAGTTAGATAGCCAGGCCCTAATTTTCCTATATAGAAATGCGGTTCTTTCAATAAAATATTTTGTCACTTTAAAAACTTGGCTCTGCTCCTGCAATTGCTTTTTTCGTATCAGGAGCGACTTTAGAAACTGCAAGTCACTTCTGGTGTGAGATTGTGTGTAATTGCTGAAGCTCAATCACTCTACTGCTAGCTCAAGAAACTTCTGATCTGCTAAAACTGCTTCTTCTATCGCTATTGCTGCTGATATAACTTTTAAAATGATTTTTTTCCTTTTTGAAATTACCCAACAGCAGTTTTAGCAGTAGACAATTTCTAGGCAGCAAACAAATCAAAAGGAACAAAGGTTAGGCTACTTCCATGCAGATGCCCTACTCACATGCTAATGGGTTGATCCCACTCGACACATAATCAAATAAGAAAAATCAAAAATGGAAAGTCATGGTGCTCTCCATGGGCTCTTCTGCTATTGTTGGATTCCACTCAAAACATAAAATCTAGCTTGCTAATTGCACTCTTTACACTTAACAAACGTTTCTTTCCTTTCACCCTGGACATTCCATAGATATATATGCTCCACTTGCTTTACTCTGTTAGATCCTCTGAAGTGCTAGCCACAGATGCAGGCAAAAAAACATCAGGAGAAAATGCTGATAGAACACAGCCATACAGCCCAGAAACCGCACAGCACCCCAATTTTAAACTTCATTGCAGTACATGGCAGTGTAGATGGGATCAGGAAATCTAGGGGGCTGGTTTGTCAGGAGTAGTTCATGTGTTTTCATCTTCTTGCAGGCTGGGTTGGTGACCTAGATGAATACTCCTTGCATGGAGGCTGCTTGGTCACTGAAGGAACCAAGTGGATCGCCAACAACTGGATCAACGTCGATCCCAACAAGCGGCGGCAGTTCCAGTTCCAGGAGGAAATGGCCCGATACACAAACGAGGAGGAGGACCCGAGCGAGTGGACTGTGGACAAATCCTACAGCCATGTGCATGTGGAACTTTAGTGTTTGGGGAGGCCTCTTCATGGACTCGGAAGAAACTTTTTTTTTGCACTAGGCCAGTCTCCTCCCTGTAATCTCCCCCTTCCCCTTCTCTTCCATCTCTGCAATTCTCCCCAGAGAACACTAGCTGTGCTCTGGCCTTGCATTTCTGATCTGACTGGGGGATGCAAAGCTTTGGATGGATACTCATGGCCATGAGTTCAGGTTTGGGGGGAAATCGATAATAGAATGATCAGGAGAAGTGCCATAGCTTGCCTTTTAGGGTCTGCTTGCCCCTTGTCTCTTTACTGAATAGTGGGCTTTGCTGCCTGGAGTTCTGGGTCTTAGAGTGATTCTACCCTTTGGCATGAGCAGGCAAGCTGCAGGATTTCAACTCGTCCTCATCCTGAGTCACATCTGTTGCCCTGCAAGGCAGTTATTTTCCTCCTCGATTAGTTAGCCTTGTAGCCACATTCCTGGTGCCTGTCCTTCTCTTGTGCTGTGACAAGATCTCTCCTTTGTGCACAAATGAACTTGGATCCTGTCCCCCATTTAGAGATCCAGGGAGCAGTAAGATCAGGGACCGTTTCTGGGGTTAAGTCCAAATTGTTCTCCATGGAGTGTGGTTCTTAGCTCTTCCAGGACCAAGTCACCATCTTCCAGTGCACCCCTGTAAATGTTTACTAAGAAATGAGCTCCATAACTATATATACTCGTGTATCAGGGCCAAAATTATGGATTTTGAAATGATCCATTTCATAGAGAGGAGAAAGCATCAATGCCAATCCAGGGGACAATCTGCCTGGCTTTTGCTACTGTTTTCCTCCCCAGGTATTCAAAATATCCAGAAGTGGCACCACATTGGAGACAGTAGAGGGGGTTAGTGCCTCGTGTTTTTTTTTTCCTGGGATGGATTATACTCTCGCTTTTTGTTCCTCTACTCAGAGAATACAAAGGTTTCTTTTGTATGAGAGTTAAGGGACAATACTCACATTGACCAATTGATAAGTTGACCCAGTTCTGCAGGGGTTGATTTTTTGACTAAAATTTCTAGACTTACACTTGAGTATATACCAGGCATGTGCAAACTTTGGCCCTCCAGGTGTTTTGGACTTCAACTCCCACAATTCCCAACAACCAGTAGGTTGTTAGGAATTGTGGATGTCTAAAACACCTGCAGGGCCGAAGTTTGCTCATGCCTGGTATATAGGGTGAGTTTCATAGAGCTTGTCGCCAGCTAATTTTGTACAGGAGTGCAGGCTTGCACACACTATAATAGAAAGCCTTTGAGAAGCTGTATGTTACGAAAGGTGTTGAGACTGCGAAGATATTGAGTCATTCCAGGTGATTTCGATTACTTATCCTGGATAATTTTTCTCAGGGTCAGACATGGTTCTAAAGAAGAGCATGGTTCTGAAATGTGTATTGTGTTGATTATCAGGGAAAAAAGGGAAATGCTGAAATGTGCAATAGCAGCTGGTGTGCTGTATTTGTTGAGATTTTCCCTTCAGTCACTTGGTTTGTGTGCCCCATTTCTTTATTGTAAGTCTGGGAGGGTTGGGGTTTTCCATTCCGTTTACTTTTCTGTTTGGACCAATGGCATAACTTCTTCTCACTGATAAATATACATCATGTGTGCAGATTGGAAGTCGCTGAATCTGCTAGATTGAGAGTTAAAGGCCAGTATGTATGCCAGGTCCCTATTTCCCACAGTTATCATGTTGTATTGCAGAAAGGATAAGTTTATTTTTTGCTGCTTTGGATACTATGACATGGAGCAATGGATTCAAACTGCAGGAAAAGAAATTCCAACAGTGTAATATGCTGCCTAGAAGTGTGATAGAGTCTCCTTCTCTGGAGGTTTTTAAGTAGAGACTGGATGGCCATCTTTTGGGGGTGCTTTGATTTTGTGTTCCTGCTTGGCAAGGGTTTGGGCTAAATAGCCCTTGAGGTCCCTTTCATCTCTGTGATTCTATGACAAATCCACCAGTAATGTGTCTAATCCATTTTTAAACCCATCTACCATAGCTGCCATTTTTGGCAATGGCCTATATAAGTTTTACATTTTGTCAAGAAATACTTCCTACATCTTTTCCTTTCCAGACCACTTTTACATACCTCTATTGTGTTATGCCTGTATTACCTGCTTTTTCAAAACCGAAAAAGCCCTAAGCTATGTATGTTTCTTCCTAGAGCAACTCTGTGACCATTTTGATTGCCCTTTTCTATGCCAAAGGCAGCAAGCTTGTGACCAGTGCTCCCGCCATATGTCCCCACTGTGTCTAAAGGGTTCTGGCTGATAAAGAGGGCTGCAAGAAGTGGCCTTTCCTATTAATAGGGCTAACTGAGGGAAAGGGCTGGTGTTTGTGAGAAATGTTGATTTGTGTATCTTGAGACAGTTTGCCCCTGGAAGAAATGAACTAAGGTTCCATCTACACTGATCATTTAATGCAGTTCCAAGCTGGCTTCCAAGCTGCAGTAGCTAGACAACAAACTCCTATAAAGGTGCTCCAAAGAAAGTCCTTAATGTTGATTAGTGCTCTGTGGTTTATGGAATCACCTTCCAGTCCTCAGACTGGTTCCAGGACTTCCTTTGTAATCTGTGTGGAGAACCTGTTTTCTTCAATATCAGTTTGTAACTGACTTAAGTGGTTCGTGTAGATGTGCCCTCAGTTTCATAGAATGAGTGGTAATGTGTGTCTTTTTTGTAGCTGTCCTTATTGTTGTGTGCCTTGGTTAGAGGCCTGTGCAGTCTGTGACTGGCCAAGTCAAACATAGCCCACCAGCTGAGTATATTGTGATCTGGCAGAAGCTTAACATTTCTTTCTGTCCTCTGTCATCCCAGACAGTAGACAAAAGTTAGAGGTTGGGTTGCTGTAAGTTTTTGGGCTGTATGGCCATGTTCCAGAAGCATTCTTTCCTGATGTTTCGCCTGCATCTATTCATAGATGCAGGCAAAATGTTAGGAGAGAATGCTTCTGGAATATGGCCATACAGCCCGAAAAACTTACAGCAACCCAGTGATTCCGGCTATCAAAGCCTTCGACGATACAAAAGTTAGAGGTTGATCAAAATCCGGGAAACCTATGTTTAACTTAGTGAGTCACAAGCTGTATAGGTCTGTGGCAAAATTAGTGCGCTTTATAACTGGGTGAAGTTAATGGGGCATGTTACCACTCCACAGTCAAATTGTAGTTCCCATCCTTTGGTCTAAGTATTTTGTAGTTCAGCTTCCACAATTCCTAACAACTGGTAAGCTGGCTGGAATTTCTGGGAGTTGAAGTCCAAAAGAACCGGAGGATCAAAGGCTGACAACCACGGAACTAGAGGAAGAGATGCCTGTCAGCCTTCTTTAAGTGAAAGAAGCAGCCCTCCCAGTCCCCAAACATGTGCCTGTAGACATCACCGACTGAATGCAATTTATGTTCATGAATTTATGATCATACACTTTAATACACTTAGTTTGCAAGATGGGGTGGGAATCTTGAGATCCTCCGGATGTTGTTGGACTGCAACTCCTCGAATTTGTTATCTCTGGTCTGAGCTGCTGAGAGTTGCAATACAATGCAGGGGGTGCATAATTCCCATCCTTGCTGCCTGGGACAGGGATGAAGTCACTACTATTTTGATAGGTTATTGTGAGGATGAGTAATCTTGAAGGTTCTTGTTTTTCCAAGTAATTCCAAGGTTCCTCAAATGTCATCACATAATCATCTTAGCAGTTTAGTAAGTCTAAGCAGATAAGCCTGCAAACCCTTTTTTTCGTGTCAGGACCAACTTGAGAAACTGCAAGTTGCTTCCAGTGTGAGAGTTTTGGCCGTCTGCAGAGTCATTGCCCAGGGACGTCTGGATGTTTTGCCATCCTGTGGGAGGCTTCTTTCATGTCCCCGCATGGGAAGGTGGAGCTGACAGAGGGGAGATCACCCCGCTTCCCGGATTTGAACCACTGACCTTTCAGTCAGCAATCCTGCCGACAAGGGTTTAACCCATTGCACCTCTGGGGACTTCATAGCCCATTGAAGTCTGTCTAATAAAGTGGTTCTCAACCTGTGGGTCTCCAGATGTTTTGGCCTTCAACTCCCAGAATCCTAACAGCTGGTAAACTGACTGGGATTTCTGGGAGTTGGAGGACAAAACACCTGGGGATCCACAGGTTGAGAACCACTGGTCTAATAAATCTGTTAGCCCATTGAAGTACTGTCTAATAGCAGGAAACTGTATGCTGTCTCAGACTATGGAGGAATTTTCTTCTCTGGAAGTTTTTTAAAAAGTTAGATGGCCATCTGTTGGGAGTGCTTGGATTGTGTGTTCCTGCATGGCTGAATGGGGTGGGACTGGATGGCCCTTGGGGTCTCTTCCAACTCTCTGATTCTAGACTTGGTTGAAAGGCCCTGCCTCACTTAGTACTACTGAAGTGCAAGCAAGTTGAATGCAAAAGAGATTTCTCTTCGTTGCCGTTCTTTCTGAACTAGGGCCTTGTATTTCTTTTGTGTGTATGTGTTTGCCCTAGAGCAGGCATTCACTTCTCAATTATGATATTTCCACATTACTAGCTAGTGATATGTAAACATGTAGGGGTTTTCTATTGTTTGAAGAAGCCAGTAATTGGGTAGAAGTGTGTTGGCACTTTATGATTGTAATCCAAAAATACAGAAGTTCTCCTGAGGCCAGAAAGTAGCATCGATACAATGGCTTGCTTTGCCCAAAGGCATGAGATACGGACCCAAACCCACAACCGAAACCTCTTGCTGACCGTCGCTAGTCCGAGTGCCCTTACGTTGCTGGTTGCATTTATTAGTTAAGTGATCAGCATTTATTTTGGTTGTTACCGTGTGTGTTCTTGACACCTTTGTATTCCTAAGTTATTTTGCTTCCTTATTTAATATTTATTTTATTTATTTATTATCCCACGCACAGACGTCAGGCTGTCTATCCTGCCAATAAAAAACATTGGAAACCCAGTGTTGTCTGTTCTGTTGTTTTGAGCTCGAAAGACACCATGACTGTTCCTTATTAGACGTTCAGTGTGTAATGCTGCCAGTCTTAAATGTCAGAATACAAGCAACAACCTCTGCTGCCCCATGCAGTCATTCCATTTTTTATTGACATGATTTGTATGTGCTTTTTAAAGAATATGATTACACTATGCAACACGATTTTTGTTCTTGGGTTATAAATGTCATTTTCCTAATTGGTTATGTCATTCAAAACATGGGAAAAGTATATTACACTGCAAAAACATAGTTTTTGTGGGAGGGACATCCTGCAGCACATTTTCTATAGTTTTCAGTGATTATGTCACAGACTCTCAACCAATTCAACGTACTTTGTGGCAGCCACAAAAATGAAATTCATGGAGTAGAACTATTTTCAAAGTAAGTACTGCGGAATGAAATAGGAAATAACACTTGCAAACCAGGAACATATTTTTTCAAATTTTCTTACATAGTGTTAGTGATGTGATGTCCACTATTAAAAACAACAGGCAAGCCTTCATACAATAATAATAATAATAATAATAATAATAATAATAATAATAATAATGCAAAGACTCTGGCACAAGCCAGTCAAGGTGGTCCCAGTGGTGATCGCACACTGGGTGCAGTGCCTAAAGACCTTGGCCTGCACTTAAACAATCGGCGCTGACAAAATTACCATCTGTCAGCTGCAAAAGGCCACCCTACTCAGATCTGCACGTATTGTTTGCTGATACATCACACAGTCCTAGACACTTGGGAAGTGTCCGATGTGTGATCCAATAGAAAGGACAGTATAATGATCTTGTTTGCAGTGTACTCATCTTGTGTATAGAAGAAGAAGAAAAAGAATTAAAGATCAAATTGCAAGACTCTGGCACAAGCCAGTAAAAGTGGTCCCAGTAGTGATTGACACACTGGGTGCAGTGCCTAAAGACCGTGGCCTGCACTTAAACACAATCAGCGCTGACAAAATGACCATTGGTCAGCTTGCAAAGGCCACCTTACTGGGATCTGCACGCATTATTCGCCGATACATCACACAGTCCTAGACACTTGGGAAGTGTCCGACGTGTGATCCAATACAACACCAACAGAGAGATCTTGTTTGCTGTGGACTCATCTTGTGTTTCTAATAATAATAATAATAATAATAATAATAAGTTCTTGTGGGGTTTTTCGGGCTATAGAGCCATGTTCTAGAGGCATTTCTCCTGACGTTTCGCCTGCATCTATGGCAAGCATCCTCAGAGACCTCACTACCTCTGAGGATGCTTGCCATAGATGCAGGCGAAACGTCAGGAGAAATGCCTCTAGAACATGGCCCTATAGCCCGAAAAAACCCACAAGAACCTAGTGATTCCAGCCATGAAAGCCTTCGACAATACAATAATAATAATAATAACAACAATAATACATCACACAGTCCTAGAAGCTTGGTAAGTGTTCGACTTGTGATTTTGTGATACGAAATCCAGCATATAGATCTTGTTTGCTGTGACATACTGTGCTTTTGTGTCAATAATAATAATAATAATAATAATAATAATAATAATAATAAACAACTGGAAAAGTTGACGTAGTACAAAGATTTAAAGATAGAACTGCAAAGACTCTGGCACAGGTCAGTAAAGGTGGTCTCAGTGGTGATTGGCACACTGGGTGCAGTGCCTAAAGATCTTGGCCTGCACTTAAAAACAATCAGCGCTGACAAAATTACCATCTGCCAGCTGCAAAAGGCCACCCAACTTGGATCTGCACGCATTATTTGCCGATACATCACACAGTCCTAGACACTTGGGAAGTGTCTGATGTGTGATGCCATAAAAAGGCCAGTATAGTGATCTTGTTTGCTGTGTACTAATCTTGTTGTGTATCTGTTATGTATCTAATAATAATCTTCTTGTGTATCTAATCACAATAATAATGTTTTATTTAAGTGTATATCTCTCTACACTATAGGATGAATGCAGCATGACACCCACTGATTTTAATAGGTGTGTGTTAATTGTTTTAATTATTGTTTTAATATTTTAATGTATTGTTGATTGCTTTATTATGATGACACTCCCCCCCTCGGGAGTGAGAAGGGCGGGGTATAAATATAGGAAATAAATAAAATAAATGTAGTTAAAGTGATATCCAACTGCATTCCTTCTTTGCAACAATGCTTCTGCTGTACCTTTAAAAGCGCCCCCTCCCGCCTCTCCGGGTCTGAAAACCCGTCGAATCACAGCGCAAGGATGAACGACCTTGGGAGACCCAGCGTCCAATCACATTCCGCGTTGGGATGAGAACTGGAAAAGAAGAGTCGCGATTGGCTCGTGAGCTGCTTTCGGCAGAGGAGCGCGCGCCGGGCCAGGTAACACGCGCGTGGGGGCTTTTAAAGGGGAAGGGGCGCTGCGAGGAGGACCCCCTTCAGGCTCTTAAATTGCCTTTGGTTCTTGGCTTGTTTCCAGACTATACTTGAGCCCCTGTTTGGTTTCCTGTAAATGTAAAGGGACTCTGGGTTGCAAGGGTGCAGAATTAATACAGTTTGGCACCACCTATGACTGAATGCTATGGTATTCTGGGAGTTGTAGTTTTGCAAGGCCTTTAGGCTTCCCTTCCAGAAAGGGCTGAGGGTTCACCAAAGTACAAATCCCAGAACTCCTCTGTGAGCCAATCTGGCAGGGTCTTGGTTGTGTTTTGTTTTGGAGCAGAAGGACCACATTTTGGGAATCTATCAAGCATGGGCAGACTTGGGCCCTCCAGGTGTTTTGGACTTCAACTCCCACAATTCCCAAAAGCTTCTTGTAGGTTAGAGTACAACTGCTGACCGTACTTCTTTAACTCTAGATCACTGCTTCTTAAACTGGGATCCATCCCCAAGTGGAGTCCTCTTAGCTCAATGTTGAAAAATTTGGCAAAGGTAAAAGGTTTCTGATCATCCCCATTTGCACAAATCTGTTAGCAAAAAGGGGCAGTGTTTATAGCGGATTCTGCAGAAAATGCTTCAGCTGTACTCCACCAAAAAGATTTTTTTTTTTTTGTCGTGTCAGGAGCGACCTGAGAATCTGCAAGTCATTTCTGGTGTGAGAGAATGGGCCGTCTGCAAGGATATTGCCCAGAGGACGCCCAGATGATTTGATGTTTTTATCATCCTTGTTGGAGGCTTCTCTCATGTCCCCGCATGAGGAGCTGGAGCTGATAGAAGGAGCTCATCTGCCTCTCCCCGGATTTGAACCTGCAACCTGTCAGTCTTCAGTCCTGCCGGCACAGGGGTTTAACCCACTGCGCCACCAGGGGCTCCACCAAAAAGATAATCAACCTGTTTAGCTAGTCTTGCAAATGCTGGTTTAGTATCAGGAAATATTTGATTTCTTTACCTAATTTACATAACTATATACCTGGGCTCAAGTATTTATTTATCGTGTCAGGGCAACCAGTCAATTGTATTACATTTCTAACAGAACAAAGCAAACAAACAGGCAAAATACAAAATTTGCGAGTTTGGTAGTTGATTAAATGTCATTTGACCAGTATCTGGCCACTTGGAGTGCTTCTGGTGTTGCTGCAAGAAGGCCCTCCATTGTGCATGTGGCAGGGCTCAGGTTGCATTGCAGCAGGTGGTCAGTGGTTTGCTCCTCTCCACACTCGCATGTCGAGGATTCCACTTTGTAGCCCCACTTCTGAAGGTTGGCTCTGCATCTCGTGGTGCCAGAGCGCAGTCTGTTCCGCGCCTTCAAAGTCCCTCAGTCTTCTGTGTGCCCAGGAGGGAGTCTCTCATTTGGTATCAGCCATTGATTGAGATTCTGGGTTTGAGCCTGCCACTTTTGGACTCTCGCTTGCTGAAGTGTTCCAGCGAGTGTCTCTGTAGATCTTAGAAAAGATCTAGTAAAAACTTCTCAGGCAGATGTGTTTTAACCTTATGGTAGATATTTATTTTTTTTGTATGTCTGCTTATGTGGCATTGAATTGTTGCCTACTTGTAAGGCGCTGTGAGTCCCCTTCAAGGTGAGAGAAGGCGGGGTATAAATATAGTAAATATAGCAAATATAGTAAATGGTCTGGTTTATTTATTTATTTACTTTATTTGTATACCGCTGTTCTCAGCCCTTAGGCAACTCACAGCGGTTAACAACAAGAACAGCAAAAATTCAATGCTACAATAACATGGTATAAAAAACAGTTAACATCATAAGACATTATACAATAATATACAATTAACAACAATAGTCATTCACTAGCGTCTCGTCACTGAAAAACATGATCCAGATCCGTCATCCATTGTTCCATTCCTATGTTCATTACACTCATTGCACTGACTATTCGAACGCCTGCTCAAACAACCAGGTTTTCACTTTTTTGAGGAATACCATTAATGATGGAGCTGGTTGCCCCTGACATGATAAATGAATGAATAAATATAGTAAATACTGATAAATAAACAGTTTAAGAAGCCCTGCTCTAGATCATAAAGGGGGATGTGAGTACTCCAGCTAATGTTGAACTACAATTTCCATTATCATTGACCATAAGCTCTGCAGGTTGGGACTGATATGAAGAGGGCCCGAGCTTCCTCTCCTCTAGATTGTTCTTATTTTCTAAGGTGATAAGCAGCATATTCCTTAATCCAATCTTTTTTGAAAACCAGAATCTCCATAACCTCAATTCCCAACCATTTGAAAATAATAACCTTTTTGTAAAAGTATGATCTTCCAAAGAGAAGCCAAAAACCTCATTTGAGTAAAATCTTCTCTTCAGTGGTATATAATCACATGTACTTATGCAAGGCAATTTGATTTGGTTGTCTCTGATCTGTTAGGAACAGAGATTATGCCAATACACAAAATATAGCAGTTATTCGGTGCACAAAAATACATCAACTCTCCCATAAAATATCTTGTTTCTATATCATGCTCTCAAGACTTATTAAAAGTAATATCTTTGGTTTACTCACAACTTCATGTATTCAGCATACAGGTACATAGCTTGTTAATCCA